CCCCCCCACTAAGCGAATTAAAAAAAAAAACATGGCTCAAGCGGCAACACTCCTGGCTTGTGTTTAAGAGGTACCCGGTTCGAATCCTGGTCAGCATATTTAATATTTAAAGCTTTTCTTTTTCCTTAGTTCTTCCAGCCAAATTCATGGATAGTTCCTTCAACTACGCTATACCCATTTCCTTCCAGATCCTTTCTCACCACCGTTCTGTAATTCATCGTTATGTGGCCTGATTCACTGGCAGCGTCATTAAATAGATTATAAATAAACCCATTTCTCCACCCGCATTTCTAAGCGCAAGCGAAGAGGTATGTGGGCGCGCATAGAGTCTACAGGAAATGAGATATTCTCCGCCAGAAGTAAACGTAGTTCATATGCATTAAAACATGCAACAGACTTAGACATAGTAAAACAAAACGCTTTATTAAAACGATAGATTATCACACGTAAGTATAGGGACGAGAAGAATTACAGCGGGACACCTTCATGGATAAATTGTAGTACACAGAACATTGCCTCTCGATACTGTATCCCACGATCCTGTTGCAGTTGCTGTTAGAATTAATTTTTAGTTTTGCTTGCCGTCCACCATGCAACAATATCGAGATTTAAAATTAAAACCTTATAAAATTCGTCACTGCAATACACGTTTCGGCCTATTCGGCCATCATCAGGTGCTAGAGTAGGCCAAGTAGGCCGAAACATGTAGAGCAGTAACGAATTGTAAAAGTATTTAATTTTAAATCTTGATATGGTGCATGGTGGACGCAAAAAGAAAATTAAAGAAAATTCTATTTGCCTCTTAACAGAAGCCATCCTCAGCTAATGAGGTTCGTTTGTTTAGAGCTGGGGAGACCACGCTGATGTGTCCCAGGCGCTAGTGATGTACGCCGCCATGATGGGCACGGTGTTCGTGTTTTGCTGGCTGGGCACCAAACTGTCCGAACAGGTAAGTGATAGTTAATGTATTCCAGTGGTAATACAAATATAAGATGGTAAGGAAAAATGTAAAGTCAATTTTATCGAGGACAGATTTCAACAAAATAATCACACTGTAGTTAGATATATATTATTACTTTGCGTATAATCTCCCTGTTTCTCAGTGCATATGATCCGTAAATATAGTACATGTATCCTGTCCATCAGAATTAAACATGTTCGGTTGCACCTTCAGTAACTCCTGCACCGCATAGTCTCTTTGTATGACTGATGCCCATTTTAGATGCAGTTTAAACTGTTTCGGCTATCTCATCTATGTTAATCGCTCTGTTTCTTAATCTCAATACACGTTCCGTTCCACTTTGAATAGCATCCGTGAACTTTCCTCTGGTTCATACAACTGTCGTCATGAAGAACTCCCACTCTAATATAAGATTCACTAATTTCTCCGCTCTCTAATAAAAAATTATCGGATCGAAAATCTTCATTAATCCTATTAATTAGAAAGCCATGATTAACTTACAGCATTATTACTACGACTCAAAAGGAATGGTAAGCAAATTGGCGCAAAATGAATACAGTATCTTATTTTGCTTATTTCATCAAGTTTTTCACTGCTTCCATGATTACCGTATTTACGCATGTATAGGCCGCACATTTTTTGCCAAAAATTCAAGAGGAAAACTGGGGTGCGGCTTATATTCGAAATATTCGAAATCACACTTCATTTAAAAAAAATTATATTCATAATTAGTAATACAGGGTGTAATACTCCTGAAATAATATTCCAAGAAAATTATTTTTTCTATAATTTCTGTCTGAAAATTGTGCTGCGGCCTATACACGCACGCGGCCTATACATGCGTAAATACGGTATTTTTGAGGGAAATTAAAATTATTTTAATTTTTTTTTTTTTCGTTGTGCATCCAACTTTATTTTGTGCGTTTTGTTTCAGGCTGAGAGCGTGCGAGAAGCCGCCTGGGGCTGTGACTGGGTGGGAACTCCTGTCTCATTTCAGCGCTGTCTCGTGTTCATCATGGCTTCATCTAACAAGGAGTTCACATTCACAGCAGCGAAATTTGTTCCTGTTTCCAACAAGACAATGATGAATGTACGTATGCATCTTCTTACATGCTTAGGAAAGTGAACATAGCAATGATTTTGATAGCATTCACACTGTAGCAAAATTAATTTCTTTTGAAGGATTACCATTTCTTTAGGTACGCTATCTCTACTTGCTGAAGGTAAATTAAATCTGCCCAGGAATTAATTTTTGTTGCAGTTCATAATGACTGAATATTTATTTCGTTAGAGGGAGAGAGATGTTAATGGCTGCATGGCTCAATGGGCATGGGTACTGAAACATTTAGACCGATTTTCTCAGTAAGTGTATTGGTACATTTAATTTCTGCATTCGAAGACTGGATATGAAAAAAAAAACATACAAAATTCTTGTTGCTTAATTTAGATTCGATTCCTGTTTCAAAATTGTAACTCTTCACTAAAAAGTTTATATTTTCACCTTTTTGAGTAGGTACTAGTTTCTATAACCAGGAAAGAGCTGTATGTAGTAATAAGATTGGTCGACATCTTGGATACGGAAAGTCAGTGTGCTCTATGAACTTTCTGACTTCTGTATACTCATACCAGATGTTCGCACTGTACGGGTTAAAATGTGGCATTTCTTATTACAATATTCTGTTAATCATATGGTGTGTTATACATCAGGATTGCGATAATATTGTACTATATTTATTATATTTTAACAGCTGATACATCTGAATCCAGTTAGATGAACCTCTGATTTGTTCCCATAAATTAAATAAAAGAGTACTCACATAAATTACAGAAATGTGCCGGAACATTTCCCAGCCCAAATGCAGCAAAAGGAAATTATGTTCTAATATTTTATATGTTTTAGAAGGATTCACAACACCATCCAGTGTGACTCAAATGTATAAGCCTTTACATGCTTCGATCAGTTATGACTTACTTACTTACTCATGGAGCTGAGCCCTTCTCGAGGAGCCGCCAATTCTGCAGCTACTCATGAATTTCCCAGCATTTTATGGAACCCAAAGGTTCATTACCGTATTCACAGGAACCCTCCACTGTTCCCTATCCTGAGCCAGACCAATCCAATCCATACCATCCCATCATATCTCTCTGAGATCAATATTCATATTGTCCACCCACCTACGCCTTGGTCTTCCCAGTGGTGTCTTTCGTTCTGGCTTTCCCACCAATACCCTATACATATTCCTCCTCTCTCCATTCGTGCTACATGCCCTGCACACCTCATCGTCCTTGATTTGATCATTCTAATTGTACTTGAAGAAGAGTACAAGTTATGAAGCTCCTCATTATGCAGTTTTCTCCAACCTCCTGTCATTTCATCTCTCTTCGGTCCAAATATTCTCCTGAACACCTTTAGTCTATGTTCCTCCTTTAACGTTAGAGACCAAGTTTCACGCCGATACAGAACCACAGGCAAATTTATAGTTTTGTATATTCTAATTCTTATGTTTTTGGACAACAGACGAGAAGACAAAAGGTTCATATATATATACATTTGGGTCACACTGGACGATGTTGTCAAATCATTCTGTAATATTTAGCTGATGTGACGGATCAGAATGAATACAATTAAAATTGTATATGTTATTAAATTACGTTTGTTAAATTTATGGGTTCAACGGCTCTTTTTGTTTGCAGATGATGAATCAGACAGCGTCTTTCTTTATGTTTCTTCTCCACATAAAAAGCAAGAATGAAGATCTGAAACAAGGATTCTAGCTACGATGGCACTTCGAAAACTTATGTGCACTTTGCCGTTCTTATTTATGTTGCAGTAATTCAATAACTGCTTTTCATGTCTTGTTTTACATAAATTAAGAAAATGTGAATTGTTACTGAAATGTAGTTTCAGAAGATCTTTGTGTATGCAAACATCAATTTAATGCATCTAAAACATAATCACATAAATTAAGTATTTAACACAGGAAAGGCAAAGAAAAAATGTTAAAGCTACCCATATAGCAGGCCGTGGAGGCCCATAGGTCGAGGCTCCCACATTTGTTTAGAAAATCAGATCACAGATGGCGGTAAGGTTTTCAGCCTTACGTGCCGGCTACCATTTACTCCCCAGGAAGATTCCTGGTCCTCATTTCTGGTAGAGGCTGAGTCAATCGCAGGGCCATGGGGCAGACGGAAGGATCAGGTCAACTGAAAAATCCAATTATCCAATCGAGAATCGAACCCGCGACAATCCGTCTTGTAGGAAATACCTTAATTTTGCAAATCGCACTGTACATTAAACAGTGTGTCAATTCTACAGCTGAAGTTGGCGTTTGAGAACATCTCTGTTATAATATAATGTGACAGTCCGGATAAATATGTTACATTTGTGAGTTTCTTACTAAACATTGTAGTTAAGTGCCAAGGTGCTGTGAAGGCTTCAAGGAATTACATTTTCCACGGAGCTAGCACAGTCCTGTTGTGTTCGCGATCCAGTCTCGCAGAACAGAAACACGTGTGTACACACCAGGAAATCGTCCAAGCCCGCAGCCAATCCCCCAGGACACTACGCCAATCAGAACACGACGGCTCACTAAAGGCCCTCCGGAGTCGCCCTGCAGCACGGATAGAATGAAGCACTAGCCTTTCAAAGTAGAGCGATAACCACATGCACAACCTGCTTTAACATTAAAAATAAAGTGAATATCGCCAGTAAAGTGTTACTGTATTAAGAGTATATAGTGATTATTTCCTTGTACAACAGCAACCAACATATCTTTGCAATGGAGATGCAGTGTGGCTTCTAAGAGTTGGGAACTGAATTTTTAAATATTATTTATATGAACTCCATGTTTCAAAGTTAAATAATTTCTTGTTTTTTTACTTTACAACACTCACAGTATCTAGATTATATGACTATGAATAGTAGCATGATTGATGATTTTGAAAAAAAAAATGAAGGAAGAGGTCGTGGCCTGTTGTAGGTATAAACCTCGCATTCGCATGGAACGACCGTGAAAAACCACGAAGGAACCTCCATCAAGACAGCCGGTGTCCCGGCTGAGATTCGATACGGATTTAGAGCGTTGCCGCTATGCCAACCTGCTCCATTTTGAATCATTAACGCAGTCTCCATAACAGATTGCAATAATTAGTCAAACTGCAGTAATTAATTAATCCTCAATATGAATTTTCTATAGCCTACTTCTATTTCATTAATTTTGCCTCACTTTATGGAGCAACCTGCTTCCTGAAGCGCCACCAGTCACTTAGAGAGGCAAAAACTTCCCCGTCTTTTACTTTTTCAACCAGAAGGTTCACAAGAGTTCTATAGTCTGAGGCCCTTTGTGAAATTTCATAACACGCTAGCTGGAGGACCACATATTTTAGGCTATCCGCGGCTGCTAATATTGTTTCCAGATATGGAGAGTTGCTACAAATATGTTGAATGAGGAGTAACGAACAGACAAAAAGTTGTGACCCTCCATAATTGATCCTGAAATGTTGTAACCGCTTGCCATCCATTCTTTCCATTTCAAAAAAGAATGCGTAAGAAGCCGACAATAAATCATCTACTAAAACAGACTGCAGCAACTTTAAATACATACACTGGTAATAATTAAATTGTAATAATTATTTATATCGCAGTCGGTACAGCTGACTACGGGCTGGACGACCGAAGGGTCGGAGTTCGAGTCCCAGTAGGTTTAAGGATTTTCTCTCCTTCACGTCGTCAAGACCGGCTCTGGGGTCCACTCAACCTCCTGTCCAATAGGTAACGGTGCTCTTTACCTTTCACAAATTTTTAAGAAACAGAAATCTCTTCGAAAATTAAAATTCTACTGGGTCCAAGGGCTTCTGTCTTCAGCAGGTTTCATGATGTTTGTAATGCCATGGCGTTTTTCTTAGAGCGAAAAATTAAAAACGGAAGTTTCGTGACCAACTCATAAGGATAGAACTAACAGTCCTAGCTGAGAGAGGTTAATTACAAATATACGAAATAATTAAGAGAAGAATTTAATGTAGGGAGCATAAGAATCTTGTAAGTAAAGTTCCATGGGTTATTATCATGACTAGTAACTGAATGGTCAGCTCTTTGCTATCGGAGAAAGAGCTCGTGTTTATTGGAGCTGTGTTGGCTCTAGTGGATAAGTGGAAACATTCAAAGACCGTATCACAAATTTATTCTATCTCGACACTCCTCTGTTCACTAAGACATAATGGAACACAATTTAGAACACTTTACTCGCATTTGTAAGAGTATTTTAAACCACATAACAGCATTAACAATGTGAGATTTGAGGTTATCACAGCGACGACTATGATCTCCCATTATGCCCACACTTCAGCGCTCTGCGTGTTCTCTATTTCTGTTACGCCAAACATGAAGGCTCAAGCTTGCGGTGCAGCGGGCTCTTGTGAACATGGTAATGAGTGTCCTGGTTTAATAAATATTATTTTATTTGTGGTTAATTGATTCCGCTGTCAGTAGCTCGCATTATACACAGTCGATTGGCAGGACGGTTAGTGAATAATGAATTGGAAAGCATGTGGAAGGAAGAGATCGTGACTTGAGAAACTTATAAGAAAACTGCAGGCAGTATAGTCGGTCTCTGGGTCGATATTTGAACCTAAGACCTCCAGAATACGACGCAGGAATGTTCTCCATTCGACCACAACGTTTTGTGAGTTAGATGTAAAGCATGGAATGTCTTGAGAAACTGAGCGATTGTTACTTCTTTAAGAAGGACTCTTCTTCAATGGCTTAGCTTATAGTCCTGAATACAACTCACTTGGCAGGCGTCCCTGCCCCCCTTCGGATAGCGTCCTGCACACAGCATCCGCGCAGTCAGCTCCGGGTAGATTTCATGGCACAACCCTCTACTCAGGATGGTGACATTTGTCCTTCTCAACAAGTTACCCTGGAATTGTCATACAATTTTAATTGAACGTGACAAAAATGCACGACAGTTACTCACACATGTTTAATAATACTGGATAAGGGTCACAGATGCAATGGAGTGTTGAAATATTCATTATAACTAATATGCTTTCATATTTATAGTAACATATGCAATTAAAACGTTTCTATAACATAACCAAAACGCATATATCCCTTCTTCTAGTTAGTTTTCTTCGGCTATCAAATGCGATGAGACTGAACTCAGGTAACGCTTGCTACCATAAATCCCAGAACATTGTCTTCTCGTCTTCTGTCTAAAAATGTAAAAATTAGAACATACAGAACTGTAATTTTGACTGTGTTTCTGTATGGGTGTGAAACTTGGTCTCTGACATTAAGGGAGGAACATAGACTGAGGGTGTTTGAGAAGAGGGTGTTGACGAGAATATTTGGACCAAAGAGAGATGAAGTGACAGGAGGTTGGAGAAAACTGCATAATGAAGAGCTTCATAACTTGTACTCTTCTCCAAGTATAAGTAGAATGATCAAGTCGAGGAAGATGAGGTGGGCAGGGCACTTAGCATACATGGAGGACATGAGGAATGCGTATATAATATTGGTGGGAAAGCCAGAAGGAAAGAAACAACTAGGTAGACCAAGACGTAGGTGGGTGCACAATATAAAATGGATCTTAGAGAGATAGGATGGGTTGATATAGACTGGATTGATCTGGCTCAGTATAGGGACCAGTCGAGGGATCTTGTGAACACGGTAATGAACGTTCGGGTTCCATAAAATATTCGGAAATTCTTGAATAGCCGCGCAACTGGCGGTTTTCAAGTAGGGCTCAGCTCCAAGGAGTCAATTAGTTATCAAAAGAGACGGCCCTAACAACTTGTACCTCTCGTGGAAGAATTTCTTATCGGAAAACTCACCTCCTGTTTCCTGATATTCCAGTTGGTTAGCAGTTTATTCTGCGCCATGACAGCCGCTGAAGCCCGCACTACTTGACTGTGACCCCAGCCGGAAACTCTGGCCTTGGTCCCGGTAGCTGCACTGTATTTCCGAGGCGGAAGCTTTATGGATCTGATGTTCGGGCTAAATCTAAACGGGGGCTTCACCTGCAAATAAATTACACTTTTACGAAACAAAGTAATGAAACAAATAGTTGAACAAAGCAATCCATCGCCAACCGCTTATTTCAAGTATCCACGGTTTGTCATTTGTATTCGCAGTTTTCAACTTGTGTGAACATTGACAAATTCGGTGGTACCCAGCTCAAATAATCAAAATTTTCTGGTAGCGGTGCTGTAATCATATGCGAAATGAGTTTCTAGCTCCCAGACTACCATTACGGTCGGTCGGTCGTTTTGTAATATTTCTTGTGTTTCTCTCATAATATATTCATAATGGACAAGCTATTGCGTGTTCTTCTTGTTTAGCGAAGGATATATTGATGGATGGATAGATAGATAGACGAATGGAAGGACGGACGGACACACAGACAGACAGACAGATAGATAGATATAAAAACGTGAAGAAATAAAGAGAACGAGAAAATAAAAGAAACGGAGAAAAAGAGAGGACTATAAAATGGAATAAGACAGACAGAAATAAACAAACAAAAAAGGACATCCGTTACAACCACAATTCTACGTGTAACGGCTCCAAGATATCCCCACCATGAGGAGTGCAATATCGCAACCGTATGGTAGACAGGCTTACGTAGACAGAAAACACAAAGTAATGAAAGGCGGTGCAAGTTCAGGCACTCATCCCCCACCTTGAGAAGCGCGATGTCGTAGTCGTATACGTCTGGATCGTACAGCTGATGTGGTATGACCTGTGCCACCCCATGTACAGTTCCACCCTCGTCATGTCTGTTCGAACCAGCCCTCAGGGTCAAGTCCGCAGACTCCAGGAGTACCTTCGTGTCCAGTTCGCTGCCGTGAGAGGAAATTGTATTTCAATTTAGGGCAGACACGTGACATTACAACCATGAATTCTGGTCAACAGTATTTTCATCAGAACCCACATTAAGAACTGAATAATTCTAACCCCTGCCATATCGCAATAATTTTGCAGATAACAGTGGTTCCTCAAATAACTAATACCACTCAGAATTTAATATACAGACCAAAATGTAGGACGCTCGGGACGGCATGTCAAAATATGTCATGTGAGAGGTCTTCTGCTAGGTTCTCCTTGGAGGACATTCACCAGAGAAGAAGTGTATGGTTTCGGATCACACTGATTTGAAAAAACTCTAAAACCACTTTAAGGTGCGGATTTCCCCAGTTTTCAAAATCTGGGGTCCATTCAGGGTACTCTCAAATTGTTACTGGAATGTCTTCCACGGGGAGTAGAATGGCCAGGGCTTGAAGCCGGCCAGGATTTAGTACCTAGGTCAAGAATGCGCAGAATATAAATTCACATACGTCCTTATGGCTTTGCATTTGATTAAGGGCGGGCATACATGTTCATGGTGTAGTGTTTCATTAATCCGAGGAATAACTTTAGGTTTAGAAGCAGCCAAATTAGTAGGACTCACAGGAGGCTGCCACTGACCCGGTCTCCTGTGCAGAGCCAGACACGGAAGATTCATGGCAGCCACTACAGTTTGCAGAGGTCGCAACAGGTAGCTCGGTCACGATATAATAATCAAACAGGCGTCGAGGCATACTTCGAATTGTTAAGTAGTGAAAAGCTAGTAACGGAATTCGGTATGAAAAACACGACGTTCAGAAACACCAGAAGTAGTAATGCGGCAGGGCAGGCGGTCCTCACTCCTGAAACATTAGTCTGTACCCTCCTACACATGGGACTAATTCAGTGGTTTAGCCAGCAAGTGCCATATCTCTGACTATATGGATATAGAAAATTAGTTCTAAATGTAATATTGATGTTTAGAATAACACAATGGCTACTTGTGGAGCTGATCTACTTGCCTGACAACGCAATGCGCTGCTGTGACCGCCCACTGTTGGCTGACGATCGACGCTCCGCACAGGTGTACACCTCCGACTTGCAATGACAGCTACGAAGATAAAAAAGAGTGAATAATTTTATTAGTTCGATTGAAATTGTCGTCTAAATAACCAACTTCATTGCTCCATTGCTTCTTTAAGATGTCGATATCTCCTCAGCCGAACAAGGAATGTCTTATTATTGCGTCAAGGGAAATTGTTCAAGTAGATTATAAAAGCGTTCTGACGTGGTGAATAACAATCGGAATTAAAAGGTTTTTTGACTCTGTCCCTTGTCCGGTGTTCTCTAGTTTCTTAGAATACCGGACAATGAAGAATTCCAAAGATCGAGGGAACTTGTTCAGCTTTATCATACATGCTCTCTGGTAGACCCTATTCTTGTCCATACGATTTGTCCAGTCCTCGGACTTCTCTGTTGGGGTGTCATCCCCGCGCATAAGCTGATAGGAACTTTTCTGCTGATTCTTTGTATCCGACTTCCATGCCCCCTTAACCGCAATCCGAGAAGCGTCATTTTGTCGTTCGAGAAACCCATATGGCAGTGTCGTGGCAGTCAAATAAGGATAAAATAGGCGGGACATTAACACAAACGCAGGGAAATAAGAACAGCATTATTGGCAGACCTCGTGGTAACAAATCCCCTGACAGTTCAGTGCACAGGTGGGAGGAAAATACTAGAACAGACTTTAGAGGAAAAGGTTATGCATATGTCGAGTAGGAGGAACTGCTGAAGGCGATGAAGCTAGAGGTTACATAGCAACGAACTATTTATTTTGTACACAGAAATATTTCTCTCAACGAAGAATTTGTACCATGGAGTTAGTTACACAATCATGATTGAACTTTTCATCCGGCAGATTTAAAGAAAATATATAATACCGTTTGTTAACGCGGGCTAATCACCAAAATACCTTTGAAACAAACACAGACATACATATATGTTTTGCTTTTATAAAACAAAATTAAAAATGGAAGTAATATATTTCAAATTTATGCCCAAAATCTTAAGAGAAGATATGTTTACAAATGCATCAAAACGAACTAGAGGTGCAAGGTTCAAAACTCGGTCTGAGCATGAGCATTCATTTTTACTAAACGCGCCAGCAGGGAAACATAACACCCCAATCGGAACTGTCATAGCCATACAAATCTTGCAACTTATATCAAATACATGATCGTTCTCTCATTACATAAATATATTACTGTTTTCGCTTAATGGAGGGTGGAGTCCAACTGGGTCCACTCAGCACGGCGGCCACTGATTGGCCTATTGTAGACTGCCCCTGGTGATTATGATGGAGAATTTGGTGGACTGAAGATTGGCAGGGGAAACCGAATTACTCGGAAAAACTTGCCCCAGCGCCACTTTGTCCACCACAAATCCCACTTGACCAGACCCGGGATCGAACGCGGGCCGCCGCGGTGGGAAGCCAGCGACTAACCGCTTGAGAACGTATGAGTGTACTGTTGTGTTCAAGCGATTCAGTGGATAATTCTGTCTGAGTGTTCTGTACAAAGAACAAGAAATTCGTAACAAACGACTGCTTTAGCGAGCGTTGTGTTACGTGACGTCAGACAGGGAGTACTGAATCCAACATCTTTCCTCCAGATCGCGGAAGGCATTATTTAAATTTCTGACAAGAATAAGCCCCATATTTTAACAGAATGCTACTAACAAATAAGGATCTTCATATTTGTTTGTAGGCCTACCTGATACGGGATCTCGCTGATGTCTGCCAAAATTCCACCAACGATTCGAACAAAATTCTTATACGGAGCACCTGTAGAATATTTGATGGGTTCATTAACTTGTTCCTGTATATATATCAGTTGTTTCCAAATCATGTTCCAAGGATTCCTGGCCTTCCTAACAAGCTTCTCCGGGCGCATGCCTTGAATGACAAACTTCAGGATAATTGTATGCGGATACTTTCTAAATTGTGAATTACGAAGCAGTTTCTTTTTCAAAATAATACTGTGCTGTCGAATTCAAAGCCAAAAATGTTAGGCATACTTCAGACTTGTCGTAGTTATTTCACATTTTATTATAAAAGCTGAATGGTATGTTCCGCTTCAGAAGGGAAAAATACAGTTCTCATTGCTGGAGAACAAGTACCACCGAAGGCACATAAGTTCGAGTTTCAGGCTAATAACATGGAAGCCAAGAATAGGATGCATTTATTGCTTCTAGATTGTGATATAGGATCTATAGATCAATGTATTCACAGCCTCACCCTCAACCGGGTCTACAGCAATTTTCGAATATTCTCTCACTTCTGGGGATCATTTATAATCAGTAACATAACTCCCCAGCTCAGAAAAAATTTTGAATAATGAATAGATCAGTTGGGACAGAAATGGAGCAATAATATTAAAATAGATATTGAAAATTTTGAGGTTGAAAATATGGATTGCATTCATTCGGTTCAGAACGGGGACAAATGTCGGTTTCGGTGAATATATTGGTAATAATGAATCTTGGGAACACGATAAAGAAATTATCGAGGAGTTAATAACTTCTCAAGGAGAACTCTGCTCACGAAACATGTTTGTGAGTTAGCTGTTGTGGATAATATAATTTATGATTATACAGTGAAACAAACATTCAATTATATCCAATGAATAATTTCTCAGGTAGCATCAAGCCTTCTAAAATTTGATGAAAATGTGTTGTATCCAAACCTATGAAATTTTCCATACAGGGATAGATACTATGGCACGAGGTTAGCTCGGTCCCGAACTCAAATCTGAATGTAAATTGCATTAACTCTGTGGATAATTCTGTTTTATATCTGACTATTTTTGAATACCAAAGTGCGTAAAACTTTCTCAGCTCTTACACTAACTATATCATATCTCTTTCTGGCTATGGCTCTACAGCCCTTTAGACCTTGGCCGCTTTTCAGTTTCTTAATCCTATACATAGTCGGTAGGACTACGTGGGCGGGGGATCAGCCCGCCGCAAGGCCTGTACCTACACAGAGGACAAACACACACAGACATCCATGTCTCGAGTGAGATTCGAACTTACGATCCCAGTGTTCTAGCGTGGCCACTGTGATCACTACATCACATATCTAATAATAATAATAATAATAATAATTAAAAAACTTTGCATTAGCGCGTACGTGTAGTTGAGACTTTTAATAAAATTAAGTAAACAAAAGTTTCTACAATTCATATTTCGGACAAAAGACGTGTGAGCGCTATTGGTGTGTTCAGAATTAGTGTTTGAATGTAAATGTGAGGTACAGTTGCGCAAAGGAGTTCCAAGTCACCTTTATTTGTACTCTCAACAAAGTGGGAATAACGTCTGGCACACGCACAGAGGGTTAATCGGGGAGATCCTTAAGTTACAGAAAACACTGCCTTCTTTGTGGGAGATCGTTCCCTCTGTTTTTATACCAGCTAAAGGTGCTCCAACTAGCAGTTAGTGCAAGTAGATGCTTGGCTGTTGGTGACAGGAACATTTCTCACAATGTTAGGAAGATGTGCATTAACAAAAGAACATATATTTCCCTCATTAAACTGAAAAATATATCTTATATATTAACTGTTAGTTCATGTTATGCTGTTTCCCATTCAAGGTACCCACAGCCCGTGGGAGATAACATCGATCTAGGCACAAACATACGAACCTCCTCTCGAAGGAAAATGGACGTCGGCATGCCAAATACTGTATATTTATCGTACTGCTATAATGTTCCTCTGTCTTTAACGAAACTTTACTAAATACATGAAAATACTCACAAGAAGACGAATAAATGCCGAAAAATATTATAAGCACCGTTATTTGGTTAATTTTCATCACTGTTAGTTATCGGCCTGGGGCCTCCTGCGTAGCATTCACTCACAAAGTGAACAGATAAGACTGTTTGCACTTAGCTTACTCCCTAAGACTACAGACTGCAGACTACTGCAATATGACTACCTTTTCCGTAATTATTTTTGCACCCAGTTCTTATGGTCTAATTCACATTCACTACTTTTATTTTAAAAACCAAGCACTAATTCCATTGAACTGCCGATCACGTTGACCGCGCGGTCTCAGGCATGAACAGTCTTCGCCCGCTCGAACACTGGGATCGTGGGTTCGAATCCCACTCAAGGCATGGATGTCTGTGTGCGTTTATTCTGTGTATAGGTAGCGGCCTTGCGACGGACTAATCCCCCGTCCATGGAGTTCTACCGACTGTGCATGGATTAAGAAACTGAAAAAAGCGGCCAAGGTCCAGAAGGGCTGTAGAGCCATAGATAGAATTCCATTGCATTAAGTTTTTCTTCAGAAGCAAATAATGACATCTAGTCAAGAAATTTCTCGCCTTTTATGGAACCCGAAGGTTCTTCACCATCACCGAACCAATCCAATTTCTTTAATACGCATTTTAATATTGCTCCCAAATCTACCCTTATGTTCTCCAAGTAGTTTATTTCCTCTAGATTTTCCAATGAAATGCTATATTCATTTGTAATCTACCTTAAGCGCTGCATATCTCGTCTATATCCTCTCTGAAACTATATTATTAGAAACTCTATCACTTCAATAATACTATCTGTTGCATGCACAGTTGCGAAACTTAACCCCTGCCTCTAAGAGATGAAAATAAGCCATAGCACACTAACTCACGCAACTACCCATTTCTTTTTTTAATTTGTTAACACGTTAAAGCAATATTACTCAAACATCAATATAAATTGTATACAACATTAATCGTCAAATACAACAAAATATACAAATTTGTTAACCGGACATGCTTCGACCCTCTACATCATCTTCAGGCATCTTATTTTTTAACGTTTGCATCCCATTTCCATCCCATTGCGAAGGTTTGTTGTTACATTTTTCATTAATTTAAAAATCCATTAAAATATGAGTAAATGATGCATTATGGAATAATGATAATTTTAGTAATAATGTACATTAAATGGCTCATCATCTATCAAGGCCCGGTAATTCTATTGTAATACAATTAGTGCAAAATTCTTGTGTATAAACTAATAGCTTATGAAATCATAGCAGCTTCGATCACCACGTTACATGTAGGCCTTCTGCTATAATATTAAGGATAAATCAATTTTTAACCTGTTAAGTGTATATTTTGTTCTCCTACAGTCTTGTTTACTGTTATATCTTCGGCATTGGTAGCAGCTATCTGCAACCTGATAATCATATAAGTACTTTAAAACAGTTTATTTACATTTTAATTAAAAGAAAGTAAACTTCAAATAAACAGTGGCTTTACACAGTGGCAGTGTAACAGCTACGTAAGAATACACACCTGATGATGGCCATTTAGCGCCGAAACATGTAGTGTGGAGTGAGGGGGAAAGAAGAAAGAACTACAATAAAATTGTTACACTTAAGACGGTATTTATCTTATATATATTGTGCGAGTGTAACAGGATGCTCAAATATAATATTGTAAACAGTGGCTTACATGTAACATGGGCTACTACTCGTATGTTGCATGCAGGCTATATACTGTCACGCACCAATCAAGATTGTTATCATTTCAGAAGATATTATTTTTNTCACACTTCATTTAAAAAAAAAATATATTCAAAATTAGTAATACAGTGTTTTCTGCTCCTGAAATAATATTCCAAGAAAATTATTTTTTCTATAATTTCTGTCTGAAAATTGTGCTGCGGCCTATACATGCGTAAATAGGGTATTTTAAAAATAAGAATTTTATGTTAGTTCACATTCGCAAAGCTGTCATGCCTCTGTTCCTTGAAACTTGTGAACTCAATGACTGTGCATGAATGTGTACATCCAAGTCGAATATACCAACTCGTAAAAACTTCTGAATTAAATTATTGATTGTCATGACAACCAGGGTCCCAGTGCTTGCTGCTCTTTCATTACTTGTCATTACGAGTATAAATATGGACACAGTCACCTTGTCACGTGTGAACAACACTAAATATTGAACATTGGATCCCAAAGCACCAATCATCACCCCACTCACTACTTTTATATCTTTCATCCATGTCATTAACATGTTTCCTGTTTTCTACATAACCTGGGCTGCACTACCCTAACTTTGTGATGGGATTTGTTGTGAACAGTTCTAAGTTCAGACCAGAAATAACAGACTCCATACAGCAGAATCCTTTTTGGAAAGCAAACAGTCACTCAGCTAATCAGCATCTTCCATATTCCCAACAGATCAGCAGCACTCCCTATCCTGAGCCAGATGAATGCAGTCCACACTCCCCAACTCTGCATCTTTAAGACCCACTGTAATATTACACACCCTGCACCTTCAAAGTGATCTCACCCTTTCAGGTTTTGGTACCAAATTTCATGGGGCTTATTATCTCTCTCATACATAGCCTACCAATCTCATCCTCCATTTGGAAAACCCTTAATAATATTTGGTAAAAAGTACAACTCATGAACCTCTCACTATGCAATATTCTCTAGTGTTCTGTCACTTCCTCTCTCTTAGCTCCAAATATCCCTATACCCATGTTCCCAGATGTCCTCAATCTATATTCTTCTCTTAGCATGATAGAGTGAGTTCTCTTTGTGGGTTACTGTCTCATGCTGTAACCGGACTATATAGCATCTGGTTATACGATAACTGGTGAATTGGCAAGGGTTAGTTAGGATCACGACCTAATTGAGGTACTGGAGGGACTAAGCAGAACCATGAAGACCTGTCAGGGCAACTCAAGTGCCTGCCAATATCCAAAATCAGCACCCCTCACATAATAGTCTAGAACATTACCACAATATCAACCTATTTAATGACAGACCAAGTTCCATCATCATATGTGACAAGGGGTAAAATTACACTTTATATACCTTCTCCTTTGTTTTAAGACAAAGATAGGAAGACAGAAAACATCACAAAAAATAAATTCAATACAACGCCAAGCATATTATTAGCAAACAGTTTATATTTTAAAAATTAATTTATATACAATATAAATGATTATACAGAGCGCAGGAATGGAATGTAATAATTTTGAAAGCACTGCTTATAGCTAACTAAATGAAGTGAAAGAGGAGCTTTTTGCTGTTTGCTGACCTATGCAGCTGCTTCTGACAGTACACTCATAGTTATGAATGAGCATGGAGAATTGGATGATGGGGTAATAAGTCTGTAGCTCAGTTCCAATGAAGACTTATGCATCTGTTTCATGGTGAAGGCCATGGCAGAATTCCTTTCCATAACATTATCTCAAAATAGGTGAAAAATATTCAGAATACTGGCAGGGTTTGAGATCATTTTGTCAGTAGTTCACAATCAATCAGTCTGCATGCCAGAAAATGTTGGCATATTCTATACGATGACCTCAAATTTCATCCATACATATTTCAGCAACTCCAAGACACAAACAAAATAACTTTGGTGGCTTTCTGCATGCAATACACCAACATGTTGAATGCAGATCCCATGCAGATTTATAAAAATCTCCATGGAAAATGTTACAGTTTTCGGTGGCATGTGTTTGCCTCTGGAATTATTTGACTGCACAGTGATCATAACCTCAGAGCAAACCGAATATTGCCCTGAATGCTGGAACTGGATGGCGAGATCTGGTTCCAACTATACAGTTCCACCACCCACATAGCTCAAGAGCTGAACTGTTTGACAGTCATGTTTGCTGGGCACCTCATTTAACATTATGGTGGCAACGCCTGGTCATCTAGGTCTCCTGACCTGACAGCATCTGACTCCTTCCTATGGGGACACATAAAATCGAAAGTTTACATCAACAAATCTCGTGTCATCACACAGTTGAAAGAACATATCACTGACAAAATTAAAAACTGATATCGCTTCACTTCAAAGGTTCACACAGAATATCTGATAAAGACTTCAAGAATCTCTCACATGCAATGGATAACATTAAAAAATTTTATTTTTAACAATGAATGTGATCTAATAAATTGCACTACATCATTGCTTTTTCAGTGAATTTATCTTTCTTATATTCAACTGAACCCCTCCTCTAGAGCACTCTAGAAACAGTGACATCCCACAGCGACACCCTATAACATATACAAATATTAAGTTTAGAAGTTGCATACAAAAATTTTGACATGAGTAAATATAACCTATAAAAATGAACACACATATAAAATACATTGAAGTACACGTAAATGCACTAAACTTTATTATTACACCATAAGATTTAACAAAGGCAATCAATCTGGTAGAAATATTGATTTTTCCAACTTTCAATAATTTACAAGTAAAGCCTGTGTTCATACCAACAGTATTATCAGGAATCCCTTTACTAAATGGCTTGATAATTAAGCCTACTCTCTGCTATGGATCTCACTGCTACAGTAAGTTTGCTGTTATATCATAGTGACTCAGACAACAGTTTCCTTGCTCTCGCTTAAATGTCGTGCAAGTTTCAAACTGAACATAAAGGACAAAATTTGGATTCCATATGGAGATACCAGTGCCTCCTTAGTATACATACACTCTGCCATCTGATGGCTGCATTTCATGTGTTCTTCACAACTGAATTAGAGATCTATGGAACCCCAAACCTACTCAGTAGCAAAAACCATGCTAGAACAGTTTCCCAGATTTAATTACAGAACTACATGGCGAATAAACCCATCTATGTATACATATACTTCACGTCCAGAGCTACTTATGCAGCAAATGAACAAAACTACAAGGCAAACCAATAACACTTGCCAGTATCCTGCTGAAAGCTGTCTGATGGACATAAGCATGTACAAAAAGAGAGCCCCAAATTGAATAAAATAAGCTACAAAATATATCCACAACTAATTAAATGAGCCACACTATGAATAATGAACACTGCTTACAGAACAAAAGACTTCATGAGGCAAAAATCTGAGATACAAATCTGACAAATCTGGAACATCTATGGGCAATCATGTATATGTGGCAATGTCTGCAGACAAAATAAATCAAAAGCTGGAGTGTGAATTCTGGATAGAGGTTCAGACAATGTGGTCCATAATACAAAAACAATATACCTGGAAATTGGCAAATACCATTTTGACCCCCACTCTCTCTAATTCACCATATATAATCACTCTCAGGTCAACTGACACAATCTTTAACAGTATAATTAAAAAAATAAAAAATCTGCCATCATGAGAACAGGCTATCCAGAAGCAACAAAGCCAACTGAAATTCATTCTGAACAGTAAAAAAAAGTGGTATAGCCCATGGAATTTCGTAATGCTATCCAAAACTATATTTCTACCTTCTACACAATGCAATGAAGAGAACAAAATCTATGTTAACAGAGAAAAGAAAATTTGGCCTTGTGCTTAATTAAGTGCAACACCATGAACATGGATGGGGGAGTGAAGATACAGTTAAAATATTCTCAACGTCAGCAACAGATCAAGATAAGTGGGTCCCTTCACATTTCAATTGCCTTACTCCTGGTACATACTGACCTGGAGATTATGTGGGCCCCACATCCAGTCTGCACACCACGGTAAAGGGAAAAATCCTTACTGATCTATCCTGGCTCACGAGTTTGAAGCATTCTAAGAATTATTTTGTATCACCTACAATATATATTGAATAAAAGACTTTTCCTTTGTTATACTTTTCTGTATACAATTCTTATTCTATTTACTTGTTCTACGTACATTTTAAAGCTTAAATGATGTGTTTCCAGAGATTGCAATTAAGGTGAAATTATGCCAGTTATAGGCTCTGTTTCTTTTTCTGAGTCTTCACTTCTTCATGTTACGCAGCACAAACACTTGAAAGTGTACAATGCAGCTCACACTACTACTCAAGAATTCACCATTAACTGACAGCACTTAGAGGAACCAGGTATTACTGACTTCACAGTGTATATTCCAAAGTCCAGAGCAGTTTTTATGTATTTACAGTGCTTCACTGATTTCCACATTATGTAAAATCATTTAAATCTTTTTAAATTACAAATGCATACATATCACAATAATGTCACTGATCTCCGTAAATTATCACATTATTAGATTGCATTGTTGCGTGTGTGCGCACGCACATATATACACACTTACAAATATACAATTTGCTACACATGTACACAGACACAGACAGACACACACAATTTCGCATAGTGGGGGGTGGAGTCCAGTTGGGTCCACTTGGCATGGCGGCCACTGAATGGCCTATTGTACCTGCCCCGGGTGATCATGATGGAGAATTTGGTGGAATGAAGATTGGCTGGGGAAACCCAAGTTCTCCCCAGCGCCACTTTGTCCACGACCAGACCTGGGCTGCTGCAGTGAGAAGCCAGCGACTAACCGCTTGAGCTATGGCACGACCTTCACACACACACACACACACACACAAACACATATACCCACATATATAGGCAATAACCTGTTTGCGGCAAGTCTGTTTCACAGCACACTGTAGCAAGCATAATTTGACTTCTATATCTCACTCTTAAACAGTAGGGGAAAGGGACATAAAAATCACATACAAATCATGACTTGTACTTTCAACATTTTTTTACAACTGGGTACTTCGCTGAAATGTATCATAGTAGTAAATCCCTACTGGTCCAGTGAAGAAAAGACTCTAAACTTGTCTCCTATTACCTCGAATACAGAAAAGCGAGGAGCAATAATACATTCTAAAATATAGACAAGAAACTAATGTAAGTATGCTTAAAGTCCAAAGTCTTAGGTAAGAACCACACAATTCTCCTTGTGTACTCAGCATGAGGAACCTTAGCAGTTGAGAAAATATTCAACAAAAGAATAATTTACCAAAACAAAATGTGTCAATATATTACAATCAATGTCAAAACCATTTACATACAAATTAATTAAATTGGGAAACAGTAAAATTTATTTCATGCTTAGTGATATGAATAACATGCCAAAAATATAAGATATATGGTAATGACTGTTACCCATCATGCAACAGTACTAGTAAACCTGGAAAACTGAGTACAGATTTTGCAGTAAAATTTTGCCTGCTGCAATGGAAATAAAAAAAAGACAATGTAATAAGATGTTTGCTATTATCACATTCTGCAATGATAAATATGAACTGCTGGAAACTAATGAGGACGTGTGGCAGAGGGATATTTCTAATTGTGTTGGCAGTCTATAAATTGTATCCAGGCCAATCTGCAAGAACAAGGCAACTGTATGCTGTCTTTAAATCAGCAACTTGGAAAACACATACTCTCTTCAGTTTGCAACAGCCTAGTATTCCACCTTACAAAATGCATCTTTCAGTCACATTACATATAATTACTGATCAAGCATCATACTGCTGCAGAAGCATATGTGTATGGTCCAAACGACTGAGTGCTGCATTTCTTTAACATTAACTCCATTACTCCCAAGTTAAAATATGGCCAATAGCCATGTAGAAGCAGGAGATCCTATTCCCAGACAATAATGAGTTCATTCAAAATTTAAAAGACAAATTAATGCCACAGTAACCAAAAATTTAAAATCCCTGTTCCTAAACTGTATATGCTAAAACATGATTCAGTGCTGACATGGAAAACATGGCAGTGTTGCAATTTCAGACTCAAGGAAGACATTCAGCCATGGGCTTATAGACAAAAGGCAAAGATAATGTACGGTTGTCACCTTAGAGCAGCCACACTCAAACTTACTTCATAAACTCTGGTACACTTAATCAAAGCACCTTTATATTCAACAAAAAAAAGTAGGGATATATTCAGTAACACATTCAAATAAATAAGAATGAATACATAACCCTTAATAATAAAGGTCAATACTGTTTATTTCCTGCAAATCCAGTAAGGCCATCAATTGCAAATACAAACTATTTGCATTGCCTCTGCTGTTTCAGTTTCTCTGTATACTCTCTCATGTATCTTAGGTGATCCAGCATAGTTGTGGTGAGTGCTGATTCAACAACAGAGTGTGGCAACCATCCTTTCAAGTCGACATTCAGAAGCCACTGGAAAATACATCGGTTTTCATCACCTGCAATGGGTCGCATCACCCAGCATGTAGGACCATTGTCTCCCCTGCCATGAACACACAATGTACATATAAGGATCCTCTGCTACAAATTTCAACTCTGAGCTGTTGCCAAAACGTCTGTACAGCAGAACTGTCATGTAGTCTAACAAACCACGCTGTTATAGAACCTAAATATTCATCACCCTCGCCACAGAAGTCAACAATAGGGCCCCAACCTCATAATCACTTTCCCTAATACCCATTTTTATATCACCTTCCCAGTTAATTCATGTTCCCTTAATGATCTTTTTCCACAATGTTTTCAAGCCCAAATTCTGTATGTATTTCTGTGTGCATGGATGTTATATGTTCTACCAGTCTCAACTTTGTTAACTGATGGAACACTGCAGCTTGACACTCCATGACTTGGACAGCAACATAAATGTACAGTACTGCTATTATGATTAACATTTTGGCTTACTTCCTTCCTTAAAGAAAAAAGCAAGCTTTGAATCACTATCCTGTTTGTGTGTGTAACCCATTTAAATTTTTTAACCATCTGACAGATTTTCACAAAATCTGGTATGGACTTTATGTCCTCAAAGACCACTTCAATGTGATACTCTATAATTTACTATAAGCTGTAGTAAGAATACTGTCTCCCCTTCCATCTTAGGTGCATCACTTTAACCTTTAATGTCCAAAGTGCCCCAATTGGGCCAGTGATGAATATGGTCATTGTGGTCAAAGTACCCCGATTTGGCCAGTTGGGCATTTAAACTCCACTGCTGGAAATGTTACAATTAACAATGCCAACCAACAAAAAATTAAAATATACATGGGAACAATTAGAAAGAAAAATTAAACTAAAAATGCTACAAAATAGAGGAAATGTCTTTAGGAGAAATAGTGGTTTTACTAAGAGGACATAAAAATCTATACAGGGTGTCCCAGGAGGAATGTGCCAAACTTCGGGAGGGTGTTCCTTATGTTAAAGTATGCCGATATAACCCAAAACACCTATGTCCAAAGTTGAACGGTTACGGAGATAATGGCCCAAGAAATGTCAAACTTTGACCGGGGTTACACACTTGTTGATTACAAAATACATATTAAAACTGGCAGGAATATGTGGATTCTGTAATGTTAATAATGTACGTAACATCAAACCAACTTGTGAGTGACGGAAAGCCATAAAATTGAAGTACAAAATACTCGCTCGCCATGTCATAATTGTCCTTAGGTTTCCAAGCAGTATACATAACACATGACTGGCGAGCGATGACGTAACGTGCTGACTGCGCGTTCTGGTATGAGCCAACTACATAAGCACGGCTAGGGAGTATCATCGCACTCAAGGACAAACATAGATAAGGGCTCTCAGCTGAGAGGTACAGCGAGGTACAGTGCTTGGACCTGCCAGAAGACCACACTTTTCTTGGGCCATTATCTCCGTAACCGTTCAACTTTGGACATAGGTGTTTTGGGTTATATCGGCATACTTTAACATAAGGAACACCCTCCCGAAGTTTGGCACATTCCTCCTGGGACACCCTGTATATGCTATTTGCAGCAATGGAACACCTGGCTGGAGGCCTAACTCTCAGTCCACTGCTTATACTAAAGGTGAAATATTCTCTAACATGCCTCGTTAAGCACATGGATATCAACAGTGTTTATAATGGAAAAACAATTAACTTCATTCCCAGAAAGGCTATACAATTGCTAAAGGCTATAATGCATTATACAAACAAAATGTGGTGGAGTGGCGAAGAAAACGGAAATGGAGTAGCAATAATCCTAGTCAAAAAAAAGAAGTGTGAACAGAATACTTGTACCCAACAGTATAACGATAAGAACTTCAGTTTTTATCAGAGAAACAGACAGATGTTCTTCAAATACATAGTACACTTCAAGCAGAATGTGATAAGGACATGAAAAACAAGTTCAAAGTAATAAGATCTAAAACTTTGTGATGATGGTAGATTAACACAACTATTGTGTTTCTAGACATCATCTATCCTCCTGTTTTTATTTAAGACACAACGTTTCGGAGACTGGATTCTGTCTACGTCTTCAGGTGGAATGTACACAGCTGCGCCAAATCAGTAGAGCTAGTCCCTATCTCTGGCCACCTGCACCAACACAAAATACGGTATACAAACAAAGTACAGCATAAACAATCTGCAAGAGCTGAGACAAACATCAAAAACATTAAAAAAAATTCACACATATGAACCCTAGCACCGGAGTACTATCAGAATAGACATCATCACTAGTGAGATAAATTCCATGTATGGTACCAACACAATTGTCTCACTTAATCTATCCAGGCCGGAGATGTAGCTTCTGCTGTGACAATGGGAGTCCAGATGAGAGAGATATCCAAGCTGGGTTGGCTGATCAGATCTACCAGAGGCATGTGGGTAGATTACTCGTATTTCCTGTATACGAGGGGGGACCCAAAAATAACAGGAAACGACCTGTTGCGCGCGCATGCTTTGTAGTTACGAGTTGTGCTGCTAGGTGGTGTTAGCTGGGGGTCTCCCGCGACTGTTAGTGAGCTGGCGTCAGTCTGAGTTAAGTGGTTTGTCTGTGGTGCTCTGTTGTGTGCGTTCCTGTTTCAACCCTTTGGTGATTAGTGAGATGGCCGACCAGAAGGAACAAAGAGTGTGCATGAAATTGATGAAGATCGTCGAAAGACCATTGACCAACTTTCTGAGGAAACGAACATCTCATGGAGCACGGTCCAGCGAATTTTAACCGAAGGTTTGCACATGAGACGGGTGTCTGCAAAATTTGTTCCTCACTTGCTCGGAGATGACCAAAGAGAAAACCGCGTGAATGTTTGCCGCGACTTGAAGAGTGAAGTGCAGTTTTCCCTAACAGAAAGCAAAATTTCACGCACACTCTTTGTTCCTTCTGGTCGGCCATCTCACTAATCGCCAAAGGGTTGAAACAGGAACGCACACAACAGAGCACCACAGACAAACCACTTAACTCAGACTGACGCCAGCTCACTAACAGTCGTGGGAGACCCCCAGCTAACACCACCTAGCAGCACAACTCATAACTACAAAGCATGCGTGCGCAACAGGTCGTTTCCGGTTATTTTTGGGTCACCTTTCGTATGGTGTATGATTCAATCTGTAAGACCTTCGCTTCTTTTCAACATATTCTGGGGCCTTCTTTATATGCATGTTGAGTTCATTTTAATTTTTTTTAACAGACTTTGTGTCAGGTTACATCTGTGCTACTTAATGCATACTTCTAAAGGTCTGCTTCTTTCACCAATGTAACATCTGCCACAATCACATGAAACACTGTAGGTACACTGCTTCATCTGCTGGGCATCAAGTGATTGCAGAAGGAAGAGTCAGTAAATAGGTCACAAATGAAATGTAAAACATGTGACATTTGAATCTGGGAAAAACATTTATTTTTCAACATACCTTCCATCAACACTGATACACTTGTCCCACTGTTTTACCAGTGCATTGAAACCCACAGCACAAAAGTCTCTTGACTGTCATGTCAGTCACTTCTGCAACTCCACTTCAACCTCTTCATCATCAGCGAAATATTTGCCACATTGGTCGACCCAGATATGAACTGCTTTATGCGACACACACTTCCCATCATAAACAGCAAACATTTCTTTATGAATACCTTTTGCATTTAGTCCTTCTACCAAAAAGAAATGCACAATAGAAATCTGATCTTCAGTAGTACACCCTAAAGCATGGTGGCCATTTTGACTACTGAAACCAGCCTCTGAACATGTGCATCTGCATCTGCTACCTAGACTGTCATGAAGCTGGACTGTGCTGCTACCTAGTGATACATACACAAAACCTATTACATCCATTGTAGCTGTTTCACTTCCATCTGTGACATATTTACTGACTCTCCCTTGCATATATGTGTGTATGTACCTGCACTCATGTATATACATACATACGTAATTACATTACATGGATTCAAAGTCAGTGCCAATGACCACAGGACATGAAATAAGCCATAAAAAACACAAAACATATACCACTGTCAATAAGTTCGTGGAATGGCCGCAAAGCGTCATACAGGAATTTACTGCCAATATGTTTCAGCAATGTTTTCGACAGCTATATCAACGTCGGCAGACTTGCATAGCAGCCAGTGGCAACTATTTTTAGGGCCAATGTGGATCTGCAAGTGTATGTGCATACCTTGTAATAAGATGCGATAAAACCACATTCCACAAACTTAATGACTCTACCACGCATGAACAGTATAAGTAAACCAAAAATACAAAAATAAAAAATACACAGAAGTTTCACATAAGACACTGAAATTCTTCAAATAGAGCCACATATATAAGTGTCCACTTATGTTGAGTCATTTTTAGTAGGAATTCAGTAGCAGAGTAAAATGAGTGTGTATTTATGTACCTTTCTAGTGCTACTTTAAATTTTGCCTTTTGATTTATAAGGGGGCACGAGGCAGCATGGTTGGGTGAGACACTATGCTACAAGCTGGAAAGTTGTGGGTTTGATTCTTGATGTCACTGGATTTTTCAATTGACCTAATCCTTCCAGCCACAATATGGTCCTAGGTTTACTCAAGTCTCTAACAGAAATGAGTACCAGGAACCTTCTTAGGGGTAAAGGGAGGCTGGTGTGTAAGGCTGACAACCTTGCCTCCATCTGTGAGTTGATTTGATGTCTCACAACCCTATGGGCCTCCATGGCGTGTTACAGGGACAGCTTTACTTTACTTTACTTTTGATTTATAAGATTTTGAGATTAGACAGTAGGTTGCTGAAAATGTTGTTGCCAGCATAGTATGCGCCTTTCTGAAAACATGAGAGGTACGTATCTCACAGCTTCAGAAATATGGAAGCTTGTATCATGAGGCGTTTGATTTGAATCTCAACAGAACACTGGCCATCCTGACTGAGGTCTTTCATGGTTTTCCTCAGTCCATCCAAGCAAATTCTTGGGGTAGTACCAAAACAGGCCCATGATTGTTTCTTTCCAAATCCTTTCCCATTCATCATTTATCAATTAACCTATCATCTCATACAAAAAGTTTCAATAGTGTCTGCATCATTAAACAGCCAACTGAGGTTGGTGCAAAGGCACTGCACATACTTTCTTATGTCACAATATATATATATATATATGACTGGTCTTGAGGACATTACCTTGAAAATGAAATTGAACATCATTCTGTATACCTCTGTGGTCACTACTGTTATGTTCCTGAAGATACCACCTGTGCAGTCTTATTTACAGAGATGGTCTCTATAAATTACTCAAATGTAATTAAAATCAATACGGATGTCTTCAAGAACGCAGCCACTTCATCTGTTGTGGCCCACCTGAACTGCTCCTATTTTTGGAGATAGAATGTTCATATTCACCAGGTTCCAAGTTATGACAGATAACTCTTAATTCTGAATATGAGTAGAATTTTTCCAACCTCATATTTAATGGCTCTAAGCACACAGAGATGAAAGACCTCCAATCCACATTTCCTGCATGGAGAGTTGTCTGAGAGGCCCACAACATGTAGGTGCCACCTTAGTGTATAGTAGACTGTCAGCAATACTGTTATCAGCCTACGCTGTTTCCAGTCAAGGCCAGTTGGTTCACAGACAGACCATAGTGTCATGTACAAGTTTACTGACATTTCAGCTAAATATACCACCTACACCTTCAGGATCAAATAATAACCCAAGCAATTAGTATGCAGCAAGTGCTGGGGATCTGACTGAACTTAAATTACATTCCTGTTAGAAAATCAAAAGAAAAATTGCAAAAGATAACCATTCTGGGAAATGAACATACCAACTTGAGAAAGATAATGATCAACTATTTAATGTAATTTCAAATTATTTTCCACTCAGGTATTATGTGATAAGCATTAGGAAAGAGGTTTGATCCTAGCAAATGGGCAGTGAAAACAGCAACAACGATGGTGATCATAAATTGGAGGTTTCATTATTTACTGAATTTCATTCCATAAATAAAATTTGGAAGTAATTTTCTTAAGTTCATCTTTCATTTTCAAAGACAGATTTCAAACACTTCTTTCTGTTTCTTCAATATCAGATATCACTTTATGATGCTATGGACACAACATACCTGACATACTGTTTGACTGGAGGCACATTAGGATGTTTTATTGAAATTCCTGCTGATATGTAACACTGGTCTCTCATTTCCCAATGCCGCAAGATCACAAAATCCCTGCTGGATACAATACCACCACCTGCCTCCTTTGCAACTTGGTAGTTGATATCAGTATGTGCATCTATTACCTGATAAACACAAATTTCCAGTTTACAATATGAGCATAGGGTTTGTGTAGTGAGCATGAAATGCAATTATTTTGGTCAACAGGTCATTTAAGAATTACCATATGTGGAGAAATGACACAACAGAAGAGAAAATAGAAGGTGAAATGGTTAATATTTAGAAATTACCAATGGAACTTCGCTTGTGTTACTTCTTCTGGATGAAGCCACCATACTGCAGTGGGCTTGACTGCGAACATTCAAAGATCTTTGCTGTCTTGATCAGAGTTTAAAAAAAGGTATAATTCAATAGTTCCACATGTCAGTTCCCAGCACGGCTTTGTTCAACCAAGCCTTGAATCTAGATATGACAAGCAGTAAGTCTAGCACTCAAAGCAGGTAACAGGTAAGCCATTCTACCTGGTCTCAGAGGGTTACTGAAGTGGCTAGACATAAAAGACTGTCTTGGAAAAGTGAATAAGGTCATTCCTTCTATGATGCGAGCCTTTCGCTGCAGCTATGTCAGATCCATTATAAGCACAACACAATTTTTTTAAGTAAGGAGGCATGAAACTACATGTATTAGGTATTTCTTTACCTCAAAAATTTTTTGGAGCTTCTCATGAAACATGACTACACAAATATTAATATTATTAAAATGCAATTTTCCCTGAAACACCTTTCAGTTTGATATATACTTACTAATTCATTCACATTATCATACAAAACTGCTATGCCTACTTAGCCAATGTAGATCACATTTGTATTTTGGTCATATACTTTTGGCTATGTTTTCTGTATTATCTGCCTCCACAGATGAAGGCAATGGCATGGGGGGGGGCAAACCTGGTATCTTCCCCTTTCCTCAGACTTTTTAAATGAAAATCAAACTAAAAAAAAATAAGGAAATATGGCAAAATTAATGATAACAAGAATTGAAAGTATTTTAATAAAAATTATTCTTCAATCCTGAATATTCTTGGATAAGGAGTAAAAATAGTCTTAAACAGCTTAAACATATGTTTGCATGAGCATGCATGCTCATGCACAAACATCCACAGAAAATAGAAAATATAATGGTGGCACCCATTTTCATCAAGCAGAATCCTTCATGAGAAACTGACAGATACTCAGCTGCTCAAGAAATTCCCCATACTTTAGTGATCCTGAAGATTCATTACCATGTTCTCAAGAGCCCATCACTTTCCCTGCCTCCACACCCTATTTCATTATGCTCCAGACTTGCTCTTGAATAATGTTGGAGAAAAATGAGTACAGAGTTGAAAAATAACTGTCTTCAGAAATTCCACAGTTATGAAAAATATCACTGTCACATGTTTACCTTGTACATCCCTCTACATACAAAATAAAAAAAAAAATCGTAAGAGCGGGTTAAAGCCCTGGTATTATGCAATTTCAGGTTCTCATAGTAACAAACCATCAGGCATTAACATACGCCACAGATATAAGTTATGTAGTATAATACAGACAAGCAAGCAGTTTTTTTTTCCACTTCATTCATCCTGGTCCATAACACCAGTATTAGTATAAAAGATTATTAATGCCGTCCAGTGTGATTGACAAATCATCAATCATACTGGACGGCATTAATAATCTTCTATACAAGTAGTCTTTGTTTCAATGTGTCACATGTATTCTGTGCATATTGACAATATTTTGATATGCATATGGTGCAGTGTGGTTAATATTGTGACATGTTGCGCAACGGAGGACTCCTACCTCCCCAGCGCCATGTGGCGGTAACATAGTGCTCTCGTTAGTACGGTAATAGGCTCGTCATCACCCTGCCACACTCCCCACGGTGACGTAACGCGCAATGCGTGGTGACGTGCCAAGCGGAGCTGAAGTGAGCAGAGTCCCAGTGCACTGGTCGCTATGCAACGCGGATAAACAGTGGTTGCGATAGATGACGGTAGCAACAGTGATGCCTACCACATGGTTGTTTTCTCGTTGCCCTGCTGAGGGTTTATAAGGGAGCTACACAGCTGCCGACGACAGTTCTCAGTTCTCAAGTTACGAGTTACAGATGCGTGTGCGAGAATCAGTGATAGTTCGTGATAACCGAGTGTATTTGGAGTGTGCAACTCAGAGAGATTTGTATAGCTCCCGCGTTATTAATACGTGAAGACTCCTAAAGATAGTGTGAAGAGATTTGGTTGTAGGGTTTGTAAAGTGTGGAAACCCGTAACATTGTTATAATTAATTGTAGCCGTGATTTGTACGTTGTTAAATAAACCAATTAACGATCTCTACGGCATATTCAGTAATGAAACATGTCACAATATTTAACATGGAATGTAACTTAATGAAGATTTGGAAAGTTTCTTTCCTTTCCAAAATCTGTATACAGAAGAGTTCCATATAGACAATTCAGTAAAATCATGCCAAGAGCTCTAATCTGGAATCAAGAGGACACTTAATGGGTCTACAAAGATAATATAATGGCAATATACCTATACCACTACTTGAATTATCCCCTGAGCATAAATTTGCTGTAATAACGCAAGTGTGGAAATAATTACAGATGCACACTTTCTTGACATTTCCTTTATTAGTAGTGTAATGCCTATAAGTTGTTTTTGAATAGCAATGATGTTGTAGCCTAAATATGAGTGAATCACATCCTTTATCATAACAAACCTCTAAAATTTACTATTTCTTATATATAATTTCATTCACAGTTACAATTCTACTTCCCCTAATTAGGTATGGCATTCTCTGGGATTAGATAGTCTGTAAGAAATGGGATCCCTGCATTAATTTTCANTAAATTTGGCCCTCGAGATGTATTAGGTTGGCCAACGCTGCTCTAGTCATTTAAATTAAAAATCATATTTTGGCTCATAAAAGGCTAAACACAAACAAAATTCCACACATTTGATTTATATATAGAAGCCAACACTCTTCGTATTTTCTTCTGCACTATAACATCATGCAGCCCAGAAGGTGGCTATCTCAGAACAGACTATATGAAGTCATAACACAGGTCACAAGAAATCTTCACTGCTGTGAAAACATCAAATCGCATAATGCTGTCTGTAAACAAAATTATTTAATGATGCTGTATCACTATGCCAGGTCACATACTAACAAAAATATAGGTTCCATTCCTGATTTTTGGTAGAAAATTTGTAATTTTTACTTTTCATACAAAATTTCCATTGCATTTTTTAAATATCAAAATTGTCATTTGGCTTCAAATCATGAACATTTCCCAATCAATGTAATCTGTGAATTACATGCCTGTACTTACGCAAGCCAAAATGACCACATGAGTTTGATGCATGTACATCATGTAATTTCATGACTTCATCACACAACATTTCAGCAAATAGTCACTTTAAGAACTATATTGCAGCATATAGACCTGTTGCTAAGCAGTTACTCTGTAAACAGTGGCCGTTGCTAGGTAATCCCTGCAAAATACACATATTTAACAATAGAAGAATGGTATTTTCTGTGGTCCAAGCTGCAGCCATTTCTGCACAATGGCTGGTTAAACAAGTACCCATGGCAACAGATACAAATGCAACAGTAGAATAATGGCGTTTTCTATGTGGTCTGTGCCGAGATGTTATAACCAGGAGAGTTGGAGCAATGTGTTCACCGACCTCTTGTTAGAGAGGGCACCCCACATGGACAGGACAGTAACTTTCATCTAAAAAGAAACATTTGGTCATGAGCCCTAGCCGGGGTTCAACACCAAGACAGATAGACAGACAGGCTGACTGACCATCATTCGCAATGTGACTGTGACTTTGACGAGTTCCATTGTGAGTAGTATTAGCAAAGTGGGCAAGAGCATGAACACAAAAGCTGAAGAAACTCCATTGCTGAGAGCTGTTACCAAGCAACAACTAGGAAAGACTATAAAAGACTGAGGCTTAGCGTGTGCTGTAGTGATTTGTAAAGTGTGTAGATCAGCAATTGAACTGTAATTGCTTGTAGTTCTGAGTCGTGTGTATAAGTGGTCAATAAATCCATTCACCAATCCAAACCCCATCTACAGTCACCCTAAATCATAATAATATGTTCTAGGACTAATGAAAGGCACTTCAATGCATAAATATTTTGCTAAAGACCAAGTAAAACTTCTGTCGAAAATGTGAAAATAGTGAGCATAACATACACAAGTATGTCTAGAAACGAGGCAAAAGCTAGTACACACCAAAAATTGTTTCATTACTTTTCACACACACTGTGTATAACAAACAGCCATGAATGCAGATATCCTTGCTCACTTGCCATGTGTGTACTAACAGAGACCAATGGTGAACAGGTCTGTATTTTCAGTCAGAGACAATTGTAGTAAAACTTAATACGCAGATAAACAATTATCAAGAAAAGGTGCAAAACATATTTCAAAATGGCTAATATTTGTTCCCTCACTGTAACATTTAACAAGAGCATACAAAAATATGTACATGAAGCATGCGAGACAGCAGACCAGTGAACTCTGTGAAGTGACTAGATGTAGACTGTAGTTCTGGAGCCCTGTTGAGGATGTTTCATTTGTTCTTACTCTTAACAAGATGTACTCTTAACCTCTTGCTCCTCCCAAATAAGATATGATAGTCCTCCATCTTCTTACACATCAAAATGCCATTTGGAATTTAAATACCCCCAAAAACTGGGATGATAGCATAGTATGCTTGTGTTTTAAATGGAATGAACTAAGGGTTAAACTGTAATGTTTATATTTTACTATTATATACTAACCTGTACTGTACGAACCTCTAGAATTGAAGGATTCCAGTTTGGAATATTTTCAACATTACTGAATAGTTCATTCAGCAACTGATCTGGAGGAAAATCTACTATTCCCTGTAAGCAAAGATCAAACACCTCTGAAAACAACTGCACCAAAAACTAGGTAATTCTGCAATACATACAATTAAATTTGCTTCTCAGTATTGTCAGCCATCTTAGATAAATTTTACATGTTTCTGATATGTATTTCACCTTCACATAATGTATCATGAAACTGCTAGTGTGCACAATTACATTTTAAAACATGATGGGGTATAATACTGTTCTAAGAAGTCAATATAAACATGTCACTGAAAAGTACCGATCCTTCATTAGATGGGTTACGGAAATGACTGCACTTCATACTGCAGCCTTACCCACAGCAAATATCGTATTAGTTTTTACAGCAAGCAGCATCAGCTCTACACCCAAACCTTCAGCTGAAAGACATCCCTTGTCAGTTTTCTGTGACTGTTTATTTAACACATTCACAGTTACTTTACACATCTTCTCCATCCTGGCCTGAGGACTTCAAGAAGAGACATTTAACATATGTTCGTAATCACTTCACAGTATGAACTTTCTTCTGTTTACAATCTAACCAGTTGGACTAATAAACATTCCAATATTGTGAACACGGATTTACACTGCACACTTGATAACCAACACGACTTTTCAAGAAATTGTTATTAGAACCTGTCCAAAGCTTCATTAATCGCAGTAACATAAAGACAATAATGTTGCTTTACAATCTTCAGCTTGAAGCTTCCTCCACAAGGTTTACATTCTGTATACTCCACCTCAATTCACATTTCCCATAAAAATTATAAATAAATGACAATACAGACACTATACCACATTTTAAAACAAAAAATCTTCAAGTTACATTTCTTATCATACACAAATTAAAACAATGAAGTATTTACTTTCTTCAGCTGGAAATCAATGAATCCACAAAGTTAACTATACTTACTGTAAGCTTCAAGACCTTCCCTACATGAGGCATCTTTTTGCTGTACACAGTATCCCCTTCTGCTGTCTCTCTTTCTAATTTCCAGTCTGGAGAATTCAGCATTCTCCAAGAAACTTCCAGGACCTCTTGACCTTCCCGCCTGTATTTCATATCCTGCAATTCAGCAGCCCTCACATTCCAGAATACTACGATTATTAACTTCAGTAATTTGACTGAAGCCTGCTGGTATTATAGGTTATGTCACAGAACTATATCAATCAAAATATCACACAGGGCACATAAAAAAAAGTTAAAATAGCAATTTATAGATTTACATTTGCAAAAATGTTCTTATTTAACACAGTATGAGATCTTATAATGTATGATATTCATGTGTACAGACTTGAATTCATACACAAGAGTTCATTGTTAAAACAATTCACTTATCATATCACATAAACAATCCTACACACAGCTGCTTTTAGGAAACTTAACAGAGTTGTGTAGATGGCTTACCTTATATACGTTTGTATATCTTAGCCTCTTAGGGAATCAACAAGACACAAATAAAATCACGAAGTTACCAACTCCATGCAGCACAGTCTTTCTTGAGAAGTTAATAGTAACTCAGCTAGTCAAGAAACTCCAAAACATCATGAAATCCAAGGGTTCATTACCATGTTCATGTGAGTCACTGGCCCCTATTCTAAGCCTGATGAATCCACTCCACGCGGCTTCCGTAGTCTAGAGGTAACGTTCCCACCTCATGACTCGTAGTACGCGGGTTCAAATACCCGGTGGAGGTTGTCGAATTTTTAAGGGCAGAAGAATTCAGGGAACAAGTCCTCCGGGAGGGACTTTAAGCCATGGGTCCCGTGTCGTAGCTTTACGGCATGTAAAAGAACCTCATACCTCCAAAGGAGGTCACTGAGCAAAACTGCGGACGTTTGCCGCCCAACAGCAGTCACTAATACCTCCGGTAGATGGGGGAAGCATTATAGATACTTCTCAGCCAGTAGAGCCGGTCTCGCTGGCTGGGCGGGACTGATGGTAAGCACCAGTACTGGTAGGATATAGAGACTGGTAGAAATCATAGAGGGAAGCACAATGGACCAATACAGGTCTCAGTGCATGGGGAAACCCACCCTCTCCAATAACTAACTAATCCAGTCCACAGCAAACCATATTACTTTCAAGATCCATCTTAATAATGTGGCATGTATACCCACTGCCGGTCACCGACCATGAAACAAGCAAATATACAACAGCCAATGCAAAGTAATGGTTCTGTAAACAAGCATGTTTCCATGGCAGGGAGAGAACATGGCAATAATGGAAAAGACATTTCCTACATAACCTGTGCTGAGACATTATAACCAGGACCAGTTAAGATTTGAAATCTGGTCTTGGGCCCCAGATGGGCGATTGACACCACGACACACTGGCCAACTGACCATCGATCATAACATAACTGACTTTGGAAGCTGCTTCCAACCAATGTCAGTGATGGTATGACTAAAGACACTAGTGTGTGTGTGTAACAGTGAAGTGTAGAGTACAGTCATATGTATCAGTGTCCAATACATTGAATTATCAACCTAAAACCCACCTACAGTCACACTTATCACATGACAACTGGTGTCAGAAGTGGGATTCTAAGTGACCTTAAGATTCATTACCGTGTTTATAAGAGTCTACCAATGTAATGTTTATTGTTTATTCCTATATTTATCAGGGTCAAACCTTTCAGTCCTCAGCTCTTTGAAATATGAGGAATAATTAGTTTTATAGCATATCTAAACATCCCAGTTTTATAAAAACTTCTGAGCTATCAAAATAAAGTTGTAATGTGTTCACTCCCTTTGTTCTTTCACACAATATCTTTTTCCTTTAACCAATCGAAAAGGTGGAAAATATATTACTGCCATTTCTTCACACACAGTGCCATAAAAAACTAAATAAGCCACTAGGAAAGACATAAATTCAATATCTTGACAATAATGGACTCATCTTCACAAAAAAGATGATTATGACAAAATAATAATTATGCCATAAACATGAACAACTGATATTTGGTTTACACTGGAGGCTGCTATTTTCAGTGCATCCTCTGGCTTAAAGTTGCTAATCATCTATTTTATTCTTACCTGCAATGAGCCTCTTCCTCCAGCTCCAGATATTCTGGTATCTTCATCATCAGAATCTATAAAATGTTTCAGACAAGAATAAGCCAAATGCACTCTCAAAATCCAGAAACATGGGTACCATTAATCACCGAAAATAAATTCATTTTAGTGAAAAGCAAATGGAAACCGTAGGGGTAATTTTCAAAGGAAAAAGATAGCCACCTAATACCAAATAATCAGCATCATTCTTGTTGCTGATTTCCCCAATCACTGGCAAAATCTGATATCACCCCACTCATCAAGGTGATCCACATCACAACTTTATATGTACTGCACTCTCCTCAAGAACCTATCATAACTTTTCTAACAGTGACAGAAAAACATTGGTGTGTGTAAGAAGCAAACATATTTCAGCATACACAAGCAGTCTAGCCCTTCTGCGACAATGTTGCTGTATTTTCTTCTATCCCAGAATTTTGTAGCTACAGCATATGATATAACAATTACTGAAGTTAATAAATAACAGCAATGGTACCAACTCTACAGACAACATATTAACCTGTCCATTTTGGTCTGTGTTTTATATTTTCTAGATGCCTTAACCTTTACTGATCATGACACATAATACTGTACTCACTTTCTGACAGATTTGTAGTTAGAAGGGACAAACCACCACGAGAAGTTTCAGACACAGACACTGAACTGCTAGGCTTATTACAGCAGCGAAAATACAACCAAAATAAATAAAAGTACCTCATATGTATGTAGTTAAGAGGGTGAATGATGTGATGGGGGACCATATGACATGAATGGGCACACAAGATGCAGTACAGATGATAATAGCTACACATGCAATATGAGAAATTTTCAGGTGGGGAATTGCAGTAGGCCACAAACTTTACATAGACAATTTCTCTTCTCCTCAATTGTATTCTGATAACTAGCACACACCAGCTGTAACTGCTGTGGAACTGTGAGACAAAATCACAGGAGTATGCCAAGTGGCCTTGAAAGACAATAAGAAAATTTGTGTATCGCAGTGACACACACGTACATGCTCTAGGGTCAGAAGTGACTTGACAGCAATGATTTGGAAAGACAAAGTACATACATACTGATGAATATGCATAGACCATCAGTGGAGGGGGGTAACTTCTGTGATGAAAATAAGGTGCTCAAAAACACTGTAACTGTTGAAGATTCTGGCACAAATGGCTAGAGCAGTAAAGAGGACAGAATATCTAATAGCTGTTCAATTAGTCACAAAACATGTAAGTGGGGCGGGAAAAACTGCTCTCTATTAGGATCTAATTACATTGTACTGCTACATTATTCTAGAATCATGTGGTAGCAAAACAGACCACTGGAAACTTAATCTAATTTTGGTTTTTGCTGCAAACGGGTGCAAGTCGGCCTCATGCTAAATCCATTCTTAGAGTAAGACCAAACCCACAAGGCAGTCATATGACCCACCTGAAGCTCAAGGCTAGCTCCATTACAGTACTTGCTGTGTCTAGGCGAAGAAGACATTAGTAATCACCAAATCTATGTTCAAAATGGAAAACTGGCATTTGTGTGAACACTTCTGTATTTACCATACAAATTTCTACATCAGAAAAGCACATATACAGAAATATGGGTGCTGTACATTTTGATTTTGAAACAAATGTGTTTTATTTCAAGGACCTTTAAAGAAATTCATTACAGTAAACAATAATGTTATAGAGCATGGTAATCAATTCTCTCTTCCATTTTAATAGAATATTTTAATAGGCTTAGTACTGAAGATGTAAATATTTTGCCAGTACTAATATCATTATAGCTGGAACTCCCAGTTAAAATCTGGTCACTAGACAAATATAATTATATTATTATGTAGTAATTAATTTTAACATTTATTGTACAGGACTAGGTAATTTAAATCTCCTATTATAATAGGAGATTTAAATTACCTAGTCCTGTACAATAAATGTTAAAATTAATTACTACAGACTCTAATAATCCATTAATTTTAGTTTAATAATGTATAATGTTGACTAGCAAGAGATAAAAATCTTCATTATGTCACATGCACATGTGTGCGCACATATGCATGTATGCCCGCTACACACACAGAATTGTTTCATTTGGCTAGTCAGTGAACTGTTCTGGTCCATCTGAGGCAACTGTTGCCTTACTGACTTTAGTTCCTCCAAAACTGCTAACAAATCTTACCAGACCAGTTAAATTTACACTTCACAGTATTCAGAATCAGCGGAACTCTCACAGTGTGGGGCAAATGCATCAATCACAAACAGTAAGCTTAACTGTACCTAACTATATCACACACACAGTGCATCACAAGGGCTGACATTTAAATAACCAGACTGATTCTGTATAAAATAAAATTCAGTAAACTTTGCTAAGTATGAGGTACTGACTTCTGATTATACACACATTTCAACATTTCTGGAAATGCTGATGTAAATCATTTTCTAAAAATCTTTTCAGTACTGTCACCACTCTGCTCTGAAAATTTTCAAGTGATTAAATAATATACAAAAAAATAAAGCTATCCTTGTATCAGGCCGTGAAGACCCATAGGGTTGTGAGATGTTGAGGGTCACCCACTATCTAGACCATCAGCTCAAAGATGGCAGTAAGGTTGTCATCCTTACGCGCCGGCTGCGCTTTGCTCCCCAGGAAAATTATTTAATTAATTCCTGGTACTCATTTCTGTTAGAGGCTGAGTCGAACCCAGGGCCATAGTGTGGCTCAAAGGATTAGGTCAGTTGAAAATACCAATTCAATGAAATTTTAATTCTGAGGCCATTAAAAAGGCAATTTGACCCAAATGTTAACCTGATGAAAAATCCATGTATTCAGCTGAGAGTATGGTCTTGCACTGCTGTAATGTTTTCAAAACTTGATGATAAAATGCTAACTGCCTGTTCTAATGGAATAAGTGATGGATGACGTTGATGTAAAAAGGCAGGCCAGCACAGTTTTGACATCTATTTCAACACTTGTGCCTTTATGGTGTGAAAATTATGGACACTTGTCCCATACATCACACCTTGATCCCAGTCCAGAAACAATATGACCTGAATATCTGAACTGCAGATTAATCACTGTTAGCCCTTCAGTTCCAGGCTTGGCGCACTGTACGCCAGCAGTTCCTGTCATATGCCGCTGGGGTCAGTGCAGTGTACGCGTATTGCAGCTCTAAGTTTCAGCTCATATTCTGAATCGTTGTTTTTGTAAAGTAATTCTTTTGGTATGAAATTAAAGAGGAAATTTCAGGCTATCATTTCGTATATTCATTGTCCCACTTTTAACTTCCTGCAGGAGTTGTAATACATTTGAATTCTTTGAAAAGGTTTTCTATTTCAACACTTGGTGCACTTGTTACCATACAAACCTATCTCTGCCTAGGAGAATTCTTATGAACTAAATATGTTAGATCGATACAGTGTACTATCCTCTATCCTGATTGGATGAAAAGTTGATTCTCTTGAGGCATATTCTGAACTGTGCTGCTTCAACATTGGTATCTGTAACTATGAGAACTATGCCATCTACCAAACAAATCTAGTACCATTTCTTACTTTTCTCCAGTTCTTGAGGTTGTAACACTTTTATTCACCTGTAACAGTTTCCCATGTGCCCTTAAACACCTTAATTCAAATATATTCTACTCACTATTCCCCCTCCATAAACTAGTTGCAAATTTTTTGAATGTCAGTAGCACTTCTTTCCAATTTCATCAGACATTCAGTATTGATTCTCTGTTCCAACAATTCATCATCCATGCTATTGAAAAAACGAAATATTCCATCAACGAAACACATACTGCAAAACAAAACATCCCCATGACTATATTCCACAAAACTGCTGCATCATGTAGCCATGTAATCTGACCTACACCAACTAACCAGCCCTAAGAGCTATGACATAAGAATATCAGTATGGTTATTTGTCAGACCTCATATATCTATAGCAACTACAGTGAGAAAACGAAATGCACACTTACATCCCAGCATCCCTGTTGGTCAGAAATGAAACAAATAAAGACATTAAATTACTGGAATTAAAAAAAGTACTTTTTTGACTAGTGAAGTAATTTATACTTTGTACACTCACTGTATTTACATAAATTATTTGAAAATATGCCCAACATCAAACAGAAGTTCATGAAACGAATTAAGAATAGGCTAATTCTGGAAATTTATTACTACTACTTAGAAAATATTTTGTCTGATTCACAGTCTATGAAATTAAAGATTAACATGTACACATAAGCATGACTTCCATTCTGTATATATGTACATGAAACTGGCTTCTTAATCCAACAGAAATGAAAGTAGCATAATAAAATAATACCCAACTGAAAACTTCAAGGTCTACATTTTGAGGATGTTTGACCCTTTCAGTGGCAGATTCATCCTATAAATCAGGTAGCTTACTTTAGAGAATGTACATGTAAAATACACTTCAAACCTTCAATAAAGTGGAACTAATATAATATACATGGACATCAAAATAAAATTAATGCCACTGAAGGAATTACTTGAAGAGTATTAATGGAAAGACACAACAAAAGCATACAGTTTGGTGGAGAGTGAAGCATGAATGAGATAACAATATTATAGAGTATTTTAGGAAAATAATTGCAACAGTGTGGACTCGATTTAGTTTGCTTAGAATTCGGTCAAATGATGGTGATGAAGAAAATTCAAAACAGATAATGCCTGGACAATACATATCATACAGTCATAAACTTACTTTGAGGTGAGTCCACTGGTGAATAGAAGTTTCCAATGGACTCTGTGTAGTCATCTATCCTATGTAAATTCTGCAGGTAATTTCTCAACAATGGAGCCCTCTCTGATTCGGGACAAGAAGAGAAGGCTGTGAACATTACACAAAAGAAATAAGTAATATCTGGTTCAACAATAAAGAAGTATCACAGGCACAACTTACAAAGAGTACATCATAATGTTCAAAAGAAATATGAAATCCAAACAAAAATTTAAAAAATATACAAATAACAAACAAAATAAGGCAGGATAAAAATTACCTTTATGCCAAATGTCGCAGGTATCTTTGACCTAATGACATTAAATATTTTGTTCTCCTCTGAATATACATTTAACTAATCCACATTGCAATCACCATCTTTCTCTGGGGACAACAGTTCCAAACGCATAATTTGTGCTCTTCATATAACATTGTTTGGGCTGATTATATCAAAATGGAGATGGGTAGGACATGCAGCATTTTAGGAAAGTGACAAACATATATGCAGTGATCAATGATACCACTTGCAACAGCTATTCTGCTGCCACTCATGACACCGGTCTAAGAAATTCTAGGAGAGAAACAGTATAATTACTTTGTCTGGTACCTTGCAGCATTCACACAGGTCCAATGGGCAGGCAATATCAGGTCTTAATCTGATCCACCCCTGGATGGAGTTCACAAAGTGAAGTGGCCTTCCCTAGAGGTATGCCATGGATTTTATATATGTCTCCACTTCCAACAACTTCGCCCCCACTATAACAGTTACAGAAAATGAATCTGACTTGGGTCTAAGATGTGGGCCTGCATGGTCAAGTGTTAGGTTTTCAGGAAACTTCTTGTCAGTAAGAAATCAAAGGGACTATATAGAATTAACACTGGTACAGTTTCCCAATCTTATATTTTCTTAAACAGGCCAGCTCAGACAATTAGCATGTTTTGGAAATTACACCCAAAACGAATTCATAAAGAAATAACTAAACTAACACATACTTCCCCTAACTAGAACACAAAACATACTGGATAATAAAAACGAATTAATGGACACAGTGCTAACGAACCAAATGTTTATGTGCCTCTCTAAACTGTAACAAAACTTCCCCTCATGCCATAACTAACTTCACAAAGTTGAGGCCTTCTTGAGAAGCCATCAGTTGTGCAGCTACTCTAAATTTAAATTTAAAGAACCTGAAGGTTCATTATCGTATTCACAAGAGCCTTCCACTGGTCCCAATCCTGAGCCAGTTTCATCCAGTCCATACCACTCCACCCTATTGCTTTAGGATCCATTTTAATATTACCCACCCATTTATGTTTTGGTCTTCCTAGTGGTTTCTTTCCATCTGGTTTTCCAATCAATATCCTATAAGCATTCATCTTCTCCCCCATGGGAGATGGCCTGCCAAACTCATCCTCCTTGACTTATTATTCTAATTACACTTGGTGAAGTGTGCAAGTTATGAAGCTCCTCATTATGCAGTTTCCTCCAACCCCCTGTCACTTCATCTCTCTTTGGTGAAAATATTCTCCTCAGCACCCTGTTCTCAAACACCCTCATTCTACGTTTCTCCCTTAATGTCAGAGACCAAGTTTCAAGCCCATATGGACCCACAGGCAAAATTATAGATCTCTGTATTCCAATTTTTATGTTTTTAGACAGCAGTGAGAAGACAAAAGGTTCTGGGCTAATGGTATAAAGCATCACCTAAATTCAATTTCATCTTAATTTCCTCCGGAATCAAATTCTGGTTTGTTACTGTCATTCCCAAATATCTGAACTGAGCCACATTTTCAAAACATCTGTTACCTATATTTATGCCACGATTTTGCCTACATTCTGGTGATGAGACAGCAACATATATTTAGTTTTCTCTGTGTTTACTTCTAGACCAACCTCCTTATTAGCATCAGTTAAAGTTTCTGTGTCTTTCTTTATGGTATCTATGTTACCTCCCAACAGAGTCATGTCATCAGCATAGACCAGCAGCTGATGTGTCCCATTTAATTTCATCCCCACCTGGTCTTCCTGGAGCTTCCTAAAGGTATATTCTAAATCAAAGCTGGAAAGCAGTGACAACAAAGCATTTCCTTGTTTCAGACCATTTTGGGCAGGAAAATTATCACACAAATGTTTACCCATATGTACTTTACTATACATTTTGTTTAAACACATTTTAATCAGTCTAACTAGATTCATGGGTACCCCAAACTCTACGAGAATACTGTACAATACTTCCCTCCTAACTGAATCATAGGCTTTCTTGAAGTCTACAAGTAGCTGATGTACTACACTCCCATGCAAAAAAATCTGATCAGTAGTTGACCTGTTAGGTCAAAACACACATTGATGATCCCCAATAACTTTAGCTATATATGGACTTGACCTTGAGAGAATATTGGATAAAATTTTTTGTATGAAGTTCATGGCAGTGATATCCCACAATAATTACTACAGTCAGTTTTACTGCCTTTCTTATCAACTGGTATAATAGTAGACTCCTTCCACTGATCAGACAATTCATCTGTATTCCAAATAGAATTAATGAGCTTATGGATCTCAGACCATAAAGTTTCACCTCCTGCTTGAAACAGTTCTGCCAGAATGTGATGACTATCTGGTGATTTATACCTTTTCAACTTTGCAACAGCAATTTCAACCTAAAAAGGACTAGGATCAGGTACTAATATCTCAGCTGTATGTAGTTCTGTCTAACATCACTGACACTATGTACATTCAACAACTGAGAGTAGTAGTTCTTCCGCCTATTCAAAATGTTGTGGGAACCTGTAAGCAGATCACCATTCTCATCCTTCACTAAGATACCTCTAGGTTGGTAACTCTTCTTAAGTCATTTATTCCAATACAGAGGTCTCTAATGCTCTTGTTCTTACTGTTCGGTGCATGCTCATTAATTTTGTATCTCAGATATTTCTTTTTCTTCCTGAAATGCCTGCTGGCTTCATGTCTTATACTGTTCATATTAACCCTATTTATTTCGCTTGGATCCAGTAAACACTGCAATTTGGCCTGTTTCCTTTGATCTAATAATTCTCAGCATCCTTCGTTGAACCATGGCTTATGCTTCTTCAATTCATGATAACTTAGTCTCCCTTTGAGTGAAATTTTGATACTCTAATAGTTTCCCAAGCTCTAGTAATATCCACCTCAGTGTCTAAGTTTTCCAATGCTGAGAACATATTTGAGATTTCCACACGATACTGCTCTTTACCCTCTACCTCATTTAATTCCTTGAGACTAACCTTGCAATATCAGATCTGTGCATTGTTTGTTTAATGACTGTCACTCTCTCCCTAACTTTTGCTACCACCAGATAGCGGTCAGTATCACAATCTGCTGCCTTGAACAATCGGACATCAAATATACGTTCTAGTTCTTCACAGAACCTGTCCTTCACATCAATTTTATCCTCTGTTGGGATATGAACAAGCAGAATAATGATATCATACCAGCAACCTCTTAGTATTATGTATGATATCCTATCACTAGCAACCTCTTAGCATTATGTATGATATCCTATCACTAGCAACCTCTTAGCATTATGTATGATATCCTATCACTGTACCTGTACCTAATTCATTATTCTCATTCCCCCTTGAATAGAAAAATGTGTATTCACATGCTAGTTCGGTGCCACCTCTGTCACATCTGACCTCCTGTACTCACACTAAATCTAACTTATATTTTGACATTTCTTTTGCAACTGTCATGAGCGAACCTGCCCTACACAGACTTCTTACATTCTACATACCAAATCTCATGTCTATTTTCTTTTGCTTAGGTCATTTATCCAAAGAATCCATCCGGGTCCGAGGCCCTTTCATAACAAGCTTATTTTTATGGTGAGTTGTTAGCCCCAACCCCAAACTGGAGGACCACCCATTGTCGGCTGTCCGCGATTTTTTGTTTAATATACTCAGAGCTACCTTCCATATCTCGATGCTGTCTCCTCCATCCGCAACCTGAGGATGCACCATGCCGTGGTGACAAGGGTCCCACCTAACATAGTTAACTTATGCCATATGTTACCAAAATCAACTTGTATGTCATGTTCAAAAAAGGTCCAAAGTTCCAAACAGTAACTTTTGTTTCCTAAATAAGTAGTTCTAGCAAGCCTGTCTGGTACCAAAATTATTATAGTAGTCATCTGATAATGGATCTTCATGACTGACGACCTAATCTTGCATCTGGCCTTAAGTGCAAGAAGACTGTCCGATGGGACATTTTCACTTACATACGATGATCTTGCATGCCAGCAATTCTCAAGAAGATGACTCAAGACAGCTGCTCTAAATGTATAATTAATTAAAATGTTCAACCAAATCAAAAGTAAAAAAACAAAAGAATTAAATTAAATGTAGTAAATTATTAAACATAATGATCCTAATTGATATAAAAAAGAACAAATTAAAATAAATCACAAATTCAACCCATGTTACTACTGAAATAAAGAGGTACAGCCAGTTTAGAAACTTGGTTCAGTACATATACAAACTTTTGGTTAGAACCTCAAGGGAACATTCCATACTAGAGATCTAGAAAGAGATGGGAGTATAACAATAAAATTTATCACTCAGAGTTAGAGTGTAAGTGTGTGAACTGGTGTTGAGTTGGTTTAGGGTAGGCTTCAATGATGGATTTTTGTAACCACTGTGAAAAAGCAGTTTCTAAGAGGGGAAAAAAGGTAGATAACTTCCAAAAGAGCTAGATAACTATCAACTGCTAAGCCATGGAGTTAGTTAAACAGGTTTAATAGAAAGCATCAAGTTTTGTTTCTAATAATGTATGAAAAGAATGTTGAGTTCATAGATTTATACACCACAGTGAAAATGTATGGAAAGTTACAATGTCAACAGTGGTGACTCACAGTTTAATGTATCCCTGTTCTGTACATATGAACCTCACTTTAGCATAAATGAAATTTCCTTAGGTATCTGAGCACAAGAGAGAATAACTCCAATGCTTGCAAGAAAGAGAGAGAAAGAAACCATGGAAAAACACAGTTTCGATACACATATAATCTCATTACTTTATTCACTTTGCTTGAAGACAATACCAGAAGGCAGTAACAAACTATTCTATTTCTGCAAATTGTTTTTTAAATTTTAGCATAGCTGGTTGAGGCATTATTCTACAGGCTGGAAGTTTGCTGATTCAATTCCTGATGAGATCACTGTATTCATTCAAATGACTTAATCCTTTCAGCTGCACTACGGTCCTGCAGGTCGACTCAGCCTCTAACATAAATGAGTACCAGGACTCTTACTGGGGGTGAAGGGCGGCTGGCATGTAAGGCTGACAACCTCACTGCCATCTGTGAGTTGACTGTCTAGAAAATGCGAAGGCCTCAACATCACAACCCTATGGGCTTCCATAGCCTGTTGCATGATAGCTTTACCTTTTTATTTTTTAAACTTCGTAAGACATAATACTAAAAAGTAAAGTAAGAAATGATTCTAATCATCCGAGAGAACAAAGAATAACACTCTTTCTTTAATTAACTACCAAACATTCAAAATTTTTTACCTTGCATATACTCCATGGCTTGCAGTTCATGTGGTAAGACCTGGAAATCAAAAAACCATGCCTCACCCCAGGACAGCACAAATGAGATGAGGACCAGGAGAACTTGGAACACCGGCTGGTTTGCTGATGTCCACTGCATTCAAAACATGCATATGTTAAGCAAATACTATTATTTTCCTAATAACACAATGCAGTATATAGTTACTATATTATTCGCACATTACGTGGTACAGCACTATCTGTAGCTATCACTTCAGTTCTTTCCCTATTACACGTATGGAATATTAGTGGAAAAGCTGAATAATAATTGTAAATGTATTAGTCACAACTCAGGCTAGGTCACAATCATAATTTTATTGAATACCAGAGAACAGTCTGTTAAAATGAACTGCAAACTGAGAATATTAATACAGGAACCATATTTGTTGCAGACTATCTGATGGCAGAGAAGTCATTCCTAATTAGAAGAAATATAAGCAAAACTTACAATGGAATCATTTAGAAGAAACAGTATAGTTTAGATGTTTGTTACAAGAAATGGTGATATGGTTCATGCATATTTAGGTTATAATATCGTTGCTATTAAAAACAATATAGGCACTGCATTAATAACCAAGGAAATGTCAAGAAAGGGTGCATCTGTAATTTATTCCATGCACAGCATTAATAAACCAATTTTATGCTCAGGAACTAATGTGTTGACCACATATATGAAGAGTTCTTACAAGTCCTAGTGGACAGATTCTAATCTGTATACGCCTCCTGCAAATATACATTTTCTAGTGGAGTTTCTAGTCATATCTAATATATTCCTGTTTACTTCCTAGCAAGATCTACTACTGAGGTGATAAATGACATCAAGCATCCATATACACTACAAATGATAATATTATTTTGTTTCTGAATACATTTTAAATAAACTAAAGGCATGTATGGACAGAATCAACTCAAATATACCTCATGCTCTTCATAGAGATGTGAATTGAAACAGTCATATATGTATACTGCCAACATATTGCCTAAATAAAGCTATTAAGTGTCCAATTGGGTCATCCTGTTGACTTCAGGTTGGAGATACTGATCTAAATGGACATCTATGTGTATGTTTCGGCAACGAATGAAACCTTCCCTATCTTCATTCCATTCATACATTCCGTGATAAATACTAACTCGACATACCCACATCAAAATATTATTAATGTTCACAGAACAGGCTTGACACTGAAACAAAAGTCTGCTCTGCAATTCATGACCTACTACATAACTTACCTTGGTGCAACATGTTAACACTTAACAGTCTGTTGCTATAGTAACCAGATATTCTGTAACTTCAGCAGTTTCAATCACCATTACAAAATTTTATATTTTTAGGTAAGTGAAACAAAAACACAATGTAACATCATGGTCAGCAGGACAAGATAAGATGTCCCTAGTCTGTAGAAATAAATCATGAAACTTCAATGAAATCATGCTGTATGACACATCAACAGTCCTACTGCCAAGCTGCATGCCATAGCAGATTGTTTTCTTCTTCTGTTTGTTCAAACTGAATAAAGATCTCCATGCCAGGTCAAGCTCCAGCTTCCTAGTCTTGAAAATCAAACACCCTGGTATCTCATCACACATATATGAATAACAAAATATAGAAAAACCAGCCCTTAATCAGTGGGCAGGTGAAATCACAGAAGACTGAGCAAAAGTGACTGCCTTATCACACATGTTAATGGCAGCATAAAGAACAACTAATTCTGGTTAAGAGAAACATTGTTCAGTACATAAAACAGCAAAACCTCCCACTGGATTCCAGTTCTCACAACATAACTGTGTAACGACATGTTAATATTGTCACAAAATAATCCATTGCCAGAAAACGGATTGTTAAAACATGCTTTGCGGCAACAAATATGCTTGGGGGAATCAAAGCATTGCCCTAAGATAATGGAAACAGATTGGAACCCCTGGAAGCAGTGATCTTTATTAGAGTCTTAGGCAGTTATAAAAGGCAGTGCATTTTGTGAATTCAAGATAGTAGAGATCAGTCCAAGATTAGTGAGAAATTCATTAGACAAGGATTTCAATCTGTGAGCTGTTATAATACAAGTGTAATTGTAGAAAAGTGCCAATAAACCCAATCATCAATTCTAGAACCCATTATTATTCATCATGCTAACTCCCTACATGTGACAATATTAAATTTCCTCTTTTACTTCATCTTCAAAATGGCTGTCTTTGCCATGGATATTCTGCAGAGATCACATAGCTCCTAATTAGGCTATATCCTTTATTCCATTATTTCATCTGTCCAGACATTTTATAAGTTTACTCTGACTTCAATGCCTTTGACTTTGCCAATGACTTTTGTTTTGAAACCGACAAAGATCAGAAAGCAGCAGCTTTGTAAGTGCAAACATGAGTTCCCTTCATAAAGACATAATTTAATTAAAAAATATGTTCAAATTGCATCCCATATAAAAATAATCCTCCTACAAATATCATGCAGTGATATTCTCACATAATCACTTCATCAAAATACAAGCAAAATGTATAAAATACTCACACTGTAAAGAAATACTTTGCCAATAAGAAAAGCACATGTCCCAGCTGTAGTGAGCTGAAAGAAATTAAGGAAAACATGCAGTATTACAAATCTGATCAACAGGTAATTTACCAGTATTAAGCAACTACTTACAGCAAGTTTGGAAGGAATATGTATCAAAATGGTACCATAAATCAGCAGTAACAAAAACTTAAAAATAAAACATAAAAGACTGGTCAGATCTTTCAAGAAAATTGTATAAAGAACCCAATCTTCTGGGAGAAATAATGATCCAAGCAACAATTCTGCACAAGATTTCAGTTTCTGATAAACAGTGTAAGTATAAATGAAACAAGTAAGGAAATGTATGCATAGTGTAACAATTCTGGCTTATTCCCTGGCCCTTATTTAATCATCCCAATATGCAGTGACATGCACCTGTGCACAGATGTCCATGTACGACAAGACTTCAATAAGTAAGGGCAAATTGCATTATATTGAGATGCACATCATATATACAGATTCAAATATGATGTTATCTTCCCATAGTCACTGACCTTTGTGATGCACTTTTACATCTTTTGGCAAGCTTCTGTATTCAAAAAAAGTTGATGCTTGTTATCGAAGCCAGAAATGCACCGTCTACTTCACCTTGTCGTTGCTGTGAAATCTTTGTCCTTGCAATGCTTCCATAAGCGTGCCAGACACATGATAGTTTGATGGAGTGAGGTCTAGACTGTAGGAGGGACGATTTATGGTCTGAAATTTCGGTTTCTGGATGGTGGTAACTGTTGCAGCAGCAGTGTGTGGTCGTGCATTGTTATGGAGATGGAGGACGTCTTTGGACAGAAGTATGCAGCAATGACTACGTATTTCAGGCTTCAGTTTCTCTTCCAGCATGGAGCTGTACCTTACACTGTTGACTGTCTCTCCTTTCTCCTGATGCTTTTCAAGAACTGGTCCATTCATATCTCAGAACAATGTCAGCATAAGTTTTCTGGCAGAGTGTGCCGACATGAACTTTATCTTGGCAGGAGAGGATGTGTGTCCCCATTCCATGGATTGTCTTTCGGATTCTGGTTCATAATATTTAACCCGGGTTTCATCCCTTGTGACAATGCACACAAGAAATTCTTCACCAACAGCATGATAACATGTCAAGAAAGTTTTGCAGCTCTGCACATGCTTCAATTTGTGTTCATCGGTCAACTGCCTCAATACCAACATGGAACACAGTGATGTTCGAGTCTCGTGGATGATGCCATGTGCAGATCCAACACTAATGTTCAACACAGTGGCAACAGTGTCCATAGAAATCCACCTATTCTCACCAATAAGTGCATCCATGTGAGCAACATTGGCATCACTGATGGCTGCGCATGGGAAACCTCAATGATGTTCATCAATGACAGATGTCTGGCTTTCTTGAAATCTTTCTAGCCACTAGTACACTTCCCTTTCACTCATACAGCTTCCACCATACTGCTGAATCATTCTTATGTGAATCTCCCTCAGTTTCACTCACAAATATTTTATTACAGCATGCTGCTCATCTCCAGTGCAATTTTCTAGCGAGGCGGCCATGATTCTCGCACTGTTGTTCAAATTATTTTCACTCTGCCACATGCTGCACACTGTAAGAACCTGCCCTACATGCTGTGGCAGTTTCATAAGGTTGTGTCCAATCTTATTAAATATCCAGTCAATTTGCCCTTACTTACTTAAGTCCCCTAGCAGATCATCATATAAAGTGTTCATTACTGTCACCTGATTTTAACCAAAATTAGAATGTCTACAATTTTTGTTGAACTCCCCAGGATCACATTTCAGCGGTTCTCGAGTTGTTAGATGCAGACAGACAGAGATATGGTGAAGCCAACAGCAACATTTCTACAACTACTCTTTGCAAATGCAGTGTCAGTACATGATGACGTTCACTAAAACAGCCAGTTCAGTGGTGCTGGGAAAAGAAGACCCCAACAATTTCATCTCAGCAAGCCTTCTAGTTACCTCTAGTCACATCCAACCAGAATGATATTTCCTATTTGTGTATGTAGTCCTAGTTTCCTTCACCAACAAACATAATTAAAGGGCCATGTGCTTTTAGTTTTCTATTTGACCTTACTAAAGACAAAAGCACAATAGATCGTTGAAGGTCATAGTGTGGGGGCCAGATTTTATGGCCCACCCCTTACATTACTGAAGACAAGGAACAGTAAAATGGGTAAAGCATTATGTCCCAGATACTTTCTGATTTGGCAATTATGATCATCTTACCATTAATTATACTGAAACATGTTAACATAATACAAACATGTCAACATTACAATTCAGACACATGTACTAAAAATGTTACTTCAAATATGTTTATGGCAAACATGAAAGCAACAAATGCATACTTACAGCTATGACCCACCAGTGGCAGATATAAAGGAAGCCATAGAAGAGCAGCAAAAATATAAACCGGGAAGCTGCAGCCATCTGCACCACAATAAGAGTCATTAAGTCTACAATTAAACTGTTACTGAGGGAGAAAATGAGAAACCACATAAACTACAAACACACAAATGCTGATTTTTACATCATTACAGTGGGAGCTGGGATAGCGTAGTTTGTATAGCGATTAACTATGGTCTGGACATGCAAGGGGTCGGAGTTTGAATTCTGGTAGGGTCAAGAATTTTATCTTCTCCATGTTGTCCAGACCAGTTCCAGGATCCACCTAACATCCTATCCAATGGGTACCAGGGGCTCTTTCCCTGGGGGTAAAGCAGCCAGGATGTGAAGCTCACCACTCACCTCCAGCTAGTGCCAAAGTCTATATATCCACTCCCCCATACACCTTCATGTAGTAGTGCTTCATTAGTTAAGCACAAGGACAACTTTACTGTGAAAGAAAACGAGGCTGTTTTCTTCCCTTGGAGTTCAGTTCAACTTCAAATAGTACATTCTGACCATTACTGCACAGGAATTGGCAATTTAAAGCCCCTGTAATATGCTGTTGGCAGCCTGATATTAACCAGGGGGTTTTAACTAGTAACAGCATTGGTATTATAAATGCTTACATGAGTATATTTTGAAAAATGCATGATAAAATATTCTAGTAAATAGCATCTGAAGGAAACTGGAATGCTGAATAAATTAAACGGGACACATCAGCTGTTGTCCTATGCCGATGATGTGAATCTACTGGGTGATAATGTAGATACCATAAAGAAAAACACACAAACTTTAACTGATGCAAGTAAAGAGGTTTTTCTAGAAGTAAACACTGAGAAAACTAAGTATATGTTGCTGCCTCATCACCAAAATGCAGGGCAAAATTATGATATAAAGACAGGAAACACATGTTTTGAAAATGTGGCACAATTCAGATATTTGGGAACAATGATAACAGATCGAAACCTGATTCAGGAGGAAATTAAGAGGAGACTGAACTCAGGTAATGCTTGCTACCATTCAGTCCAGAACCTCTTTGTCTTCTCATCTGCTGTCCAAAAACATAAAAATTTAGAATACACAAAACAATAATTTTGCCTGTGGTTTTGTTTGGGTGTGAAACTTGGTCTGATATTAAGGGAGGAACATAGACTAAGGGTGTCTGAGAACAGAGTGTTGAGGAGAATATCCAGACTGAAGAGAGATGAAGTGACAGGAAGCTGGAGAAAACTGCATAATGAGGAGCTTCATAACTTGTACTCTCCTCCAAGTATAATTAGAATGATCAAGCCAAGAAGGATGACATGGGCAGGGCATGTAGCACAAATGGGGGAGATGAAGAATGTGTATAGGATACTGGTGGGAAAGCCAGAAGGAAAGAGACAACTGGAAAGACCAAGGCGTAGGTGGGTGGACAATATTAAAATGGATGGTATTGATTGGACTGATCTGACTCAGGATAGGGTCCAGTGGAGGGCTCTTGTGAACACGGTAATGAACCTTCAGGTTTCATAAAATACTGGGAAATTCTTGAGTAGCTGCAGAATTGGCAGCTCCTCCAGAAGGGCTCAGCTCCATGAGTAAGTAAGTAAGTAAGTAAGTAAGTACTATTTACTATCATAATAATAGATGTTTCCAGAAGTTTGTAGATTCTTGAAATAATATAAAATATTATATATATAAATCCAAATGTACAGAAATCTCATATCTGGAAATATTTATTTTCCCATACTGTAACAGAACTATAGTTTGGAAATTTATCTCTGTACGGTAAATATAAAAATAATATAACAGAGACGCAGGTGGAAGAAATTGTACGTGAGTTAGTCCATCTCTACATATGCCCCCTGCAAGGCCACACATTTTCCCCAATGATGCAATAGCTGCTGGATACCTTGATCATAGAAGGTCTCATTTTGACTATTTAGGAAGTCCTCCACTGCAGGAATGACATCATCATCATCTTGGAATTGCTTACCATGAAGTGGCTTCTTTAGCCGTGGAAAGAGGAAGAATTTGCTTGGTGCCAGGTCTGGTGAATGAGGTGGAGGGGAGAGAATTTCATATCACAGACTGTCAACAAGTGTCATCATGAGCAATGAGCAGCATGAGCCGGTGCGTTGTCGTGAAGAAGTCACACACCTTTTCCCAGCATTCCAGGTCGCTTTTTCTTGATTTCCTCCCACAATTTTCTCAGAAGGTTTTGGTAGTATTTGCCAGTGATGGTGACGCCATTTTGCATGTAGTCGGTCATTATGACACCTTGCCGATCCCAGAACACGTTCAACATCATCTTTCGTGATGACGGCTGCGATCTGGCCTTCTTTGGTGGTCGCGAGTCTACATGTTTCCACTGCTTGTTCATTTCCTTGGTTTCAGGGTCATAATGATAGACCCCACATTCATCCATCGTGATTGGGTGGTCGAAAAATTCCATCTTTTCGTCTTGACACAACTGCAGAAGTTTCTTTGCCACATCCCTCCATTGCTGTTTTCGAACTGGTGTCAACAATCGTGGCACCCAACGTGCAGCTACTTTCATCATGTGTAACTTGTCATGGATCTGGATGCACCATAGCTCAAGTGGTTAGTTGCTGGCTTCCCACCATGACGGCCTGGATTCGATCCCGGGTCTAGTCAAGTAGGATTTGTGATGGACAAAGTGGCGCTGGGGCAGGTTTTCTCCAAGTACTTCGGTTTCACCTGCCAAACTTCATTCCACCAAATTCTCCATCATAATCACCTGGGGCAGGCTACAATAGGACAATCAGTGGCTGCCGTGCCGAGTGGACCCAGTTGGAGTCCACCCCTCACTACAAGAAGCTAACCTGTCATGGAAAATGCTGAAAACCGACCCTTGGTTAATGTGGAACTCATGAACAATAGCTTCAATAGTTATGTGCCTATCGGATAGGACCAAAGCTTTCCACCTATGCCACAATTCCCAGTTCCTCGGCAAAAGATGGTCTTCCACTTCAGGGTTCATCTCTGAGGTTTGTCTGTTCACAATGAAACCTCCTCTTCCACCTGACCAGTGCATCACCACCTTCCTGATACACAGCAGTCATCTGGTCATGGATCTCCCCGGCAGACTACCCTTGAAAATGCAGGAACAGTATCACATCACGTGCCTTCACTTTCTCAACTGATGTCACCATCTTGCTTCTGCCCCTTCTGGTGGCTTCCTCTGCCCACTTGGATTTTGTATCCATTTGTATATTATCAACATTGTATGTATTGTCATCTGTTGGGTGTATAACGCAACAAATAACTTCACGTCTTATTTGATATAGCAAATTTATTGCACATTCGCTCTTACAGTCACACAATTTACAACCTCACAATTGCTGCCCTCAGCAGTACCACAAATTATCACATCAAATCTTCCAATCACACGTTTGGGTCTTCTTTCCATGACTGCTGCTATATTTCAAATGTCTTCAGCGGCTGCTACATGTTAACTGTCTTCGGCGGCTGCTGATCACTCACTCACTTCTAACTCGTAACTAACTTGAATAGTCTTCGCTGCTCCTTATTTAGCCCCGTTCTGGACAACACAGAAAACAGCCACGTAATAGGCACCACTGTTGTCTGGCACTGTGTTGCTACCAACACTGTCGGGAGTTGTTTACGGCTGCATAGCAACCGCGGCATCCCTTGGTCACGTCACCGCTGGCGGGGTAGGGGAAGGAGTGTTGACTTGCCTGCTACCCTAGTAACGACAGCGCTCTGATGGTGTTATGTCACCGCTGGCGGGGGGAGGGGTGTCCTGCATAGCGCAACACGTCACGGTATATTTTAACGCTCAGAACATCTATTGTAATAGTGGTTTCCAAACTGTATTGAAGTCCCACTGATGATGGTCTCTAATGACCGAAACGTGTAAGGGTATGAATAACTGAAATAAAAAAAAAAATCTTCACCACTTACACTGGATGGAACTGTTTTATCTTTTTATAATAATGTCAACCAGTTCTACCCACCACCTGCCCTTTCTTCTCTCTGTTGGACAGTAGAAAGATATGAGTAATACCACAACAGTGTTGCACAGTAACAAATCTATCCATTAAACAGTCACCAAGCAATAAAGTAGATACGAGTATGTTGACTTTGCAACTGTGCTGATTAGCCTTCTGAGCAAACACATACACTATGCTTCCAAAGTATACAGACACACAAATACAAATGTGGCACTTGATGCACTGGATGCTCAACCAATAATCAAACAGCAATCGCTATTTAGTGATTATGAAGGTGAGCCTTCTGGGCAAACATACATAAAATAAAATCATGCACTGTGTACTAACTGTGTGATGTACCGTATTTATCAAGCAATGAAACAGCAGTGGATATCCAGCAGGCATGCAGGTGAGCCTTCTAGGCAAACATGCATATACTAGATTTCATAAAAATACATGATCAAATATTGACAATTAATACATTTCATTTCAATTGAAATAACTTTTTAAACAACCTACTCACTCCTAGTCCTCAAGTTTTAATATCCTAATGCTATTCAATATCTGAATACTGTTGTTTTGTTATTTCCAAAGATATAAAATTGTTACACTTTATCCAAACATAAAACCCAAGATATATGCATCCCTCAAATGTTGTTAATTTGAGGTTCAGCTTTGTGCATGTTTTTATACCACTTTGCAGATTTTACATGCCACTGAATTTTCTGTGAAACGCCAATTTATCAAATTTTCTGCATACCAGACAAAACTAGCACTATTCTTAAATACAAGGGACTTACCACTATGTCAAATAAAGATGTATGAATGTCATAACGTACAATTTGTTTTGACAAAGCTGAGACTATGTCATCTCCATTCAACTGAAAAATACAGAACCTTCAGTAAAACACTATTCCAGTCGAAAATACACACACATGTGATCAGACTGGAAGGCATAGGATTTGAGGTTCTCACAGCAGTGGTTATGAGAAATTCTATCTTCTGGGATATAACACCACGTAGTCCATCGAAAGTTACTGCATGCCTCATCTGACTTCTGGCTTGACTTACTCACCCCTGAAGATGAAGGCAGCAAGTTTCTCCAAAATTCTGACTGACTTTCAAGAGACTACATGGCATTATATCATGGAAGACAGAACTCTTCGCATTGAACTATGTTACAATTTTATAAGTAGTATCAATTCAAACAGGCATAATTCAATTACTTTTCTTCATAAGACATTACCAAACACATCAGCTCAATCCATACCACTTCTGGCTTGTATAAATAAGGTTAATTTTGGCCAGGACATCAGCAAACCTGACTGAATTCTTTCATGATTTTCCTCTGTCCATTCAGGCTGATGATGGGACAGCACCTCAAATTAGGCCAATACTACTTTACTTCCACAACTTTTCCAGTCAGGACAGCAGGTAGCCCTACCAAGATATATCTTGTCCTTACTGAATACAAGCCCACAGTGTTACTGCAACACTAATCTGTTTTCAAATGAAAAGTGCTACTCAATTTACATATAACCAAAACCTGTATGTTATAATGGAGTAAAAAAATTCCTACAACCTAGCAAGTGAAAACTGTTTTACTGAATTAGTGTATTTAAACTTATGGTAACAAATGATGATGGTTTACTTCAAAGTCATCCAAATTTGGTACATGGGTTGCACATGGCCTGAATCTGCTAAAGTCCTGAATTCAGCAATAGTTTTACAAAAGAAATGCCTTAATTGAAAGTCTTGCAAGAACTGACCATGCCACCTTTCAAAAATTTCTGTCATTATTAATCTGTACTTAGTGATAACTAACCATTTGCAGGAAGGGACTAATGACAACCACAAAGAATCTCAAGTCAGGATAACCAGCACTCTAGCCAGGAATCACACTCAGACCTCCCAAATATGAAGCACAAGTACTAAGTACTACACCATGATGTATGATGGAAGGAGATGGCAGCAGTGCACATAACCTCCCATAAAATAAGAAACAGACACAAACAACATTGCAGTGCACTGACGGAGCTGATGAGGCAGGTACTTCTGTGTTAACCATGATCCACTTTGGTCAATGCTTATGTATATAGACATTAAAACATATGGTGGAACAAAGTGTAATCCCCATGCGGCTTGGCATGACTAACTTGTAGAAGTGAACACTTACCAGAATAATGATCAACCACATAAGACACGTGAAGAGAAGGTCAAAAGTGACAAAGAGGCAGAAGAACCTCCTAACAGCAGACATATGGCCATTTCTCCGCATGCCTGAAACCAAGTCTTCAGTTGCATATTGCCCTGCTCGAGATGTGAAGCTGTATTCTGGGAATAAATTTCAATTATGCAATTTCATAACACTGTGTGCTAGTGTACATTGGAGTTAAAATAAATCCTTCACACCCAACTGTTCAATGCCGAGAGAAAATATTACAAAGGGGGTAAAGTTTTCCCAATGCTAAATTAAGCATTTCACCATGAAGATGTAAGGAAGATAGGTATAATTCCATGCCTTAACTTTGACTCCATATGGGGGCAAGTGGCCAGCCACTGGTGCTCAATGGACAGGAGGTTCAGGAAGCCAAAGACAAAAAGTCATGATATACAGATGGAGTGAACACCCAAAACTCTCTTATGAATTGGAGTCTCAAAAACCAGCCTTTAAACTTGTCACTATATTGAGAGAGCTCCCTGTCATTAACTTAAACACTCAGACACACAATGAATCCACCATTTTTAAAATGTGTGTTAACAAGTGGCAATCTAAAACCCACTTATTTAAAACTCTTATTTACAGTGGTGTTAATTACTGTAAACCAAGCATGTCCAACGTGTCGATCGCGGGATGATTTTTGGTCAATCTCATAGGCCTATAAGGAAATTATACGGGAAAAGCATGTAAATTCATTTGTACTATAATATGATTATATTCAGATTTTGAAGGGAAAATATGAATTAGTCATTCCTAGTTTTCTGTTCCTATGTAGCTTATGTGAAAATTGCTTTACACTTGTGTTAAGCGAACTGTGGGAAAGTCCTTACTCTATCCTTATCACGTGAACTCTTTATTTTATCACTCGTCATTAGCCGCGTGTGTTCTGATGCAAGAGTGATCAACAGAACGTGTGATTCACTAGAAATGATGTGTGGAAGCATTACTGAACAGCTGTTGAAAGATGTTTCTAATTGTGTTGCTTTCCCCCTTAAACTGGATGAATCTACAGACATCAGAGACACAGCCCAGTTACTAGTTGCTTTTACAACAAACATCATGTGTTGTAAGATTTGAGGTTTTCACGGCAGTGACTATGAAGAACGCTGTCTTCTGGGATGTGGCAACGTGTAGATGTGGTGTTAGCCAACGTTTCGGAAGAACATATCACCTCCATCTTCAGGGTAGAAGGCAAAATAAGAAATCCGCAAGAGAAGAGACTGTGAGAACTGATACAAGCTGACTGCTTTCTTCATCATGTGTTGTGTTATTTTTACCAATATTTTTGCTTAAAGCGAGGTACGACGATAGGAGGGGGTGGTAGATCACTGGCAGTTTTGACACTAAAAAGTCGATCACAACCTGTTTGAAGTTGGACATGTCTGCTGTAAACTATAATTAAACCTATTACACAATACTACGTCAGCACACACGACCCAGTATTTGGCAGTCACAACTGTAATGAAATTCTATCACATCTGTGATTCAAAATATTAAATTTCCTAACACATTACAAGCAGTCATGTTTACTACACCCACTTCAGGAAAGCAAATTTTAAATGCAGATTCCTAACATAAATACTAAAAACTACAATCACATGATAGGACATGGCAGGTCATCACAAGAGAAGGTCCTGAATTGAAAATTACCATGTCTTTTTCTGGTAATTTTTCTTTAGCTGACTTCATTATGTACTGCTTCAGGCATGATGGAACTGGAATGAGAGGAACTAAAGGAAGTGGAAGGATTTGACACCTTAATCTGCAAGTGTAACTTGGATCTGATATGCACTCACGAAGGTGTGGTGTTGGTTGTGGACTTGAAGCACTAGATGTTAACAAAGCTTCTGCAGCAGCTCGGATTTGTTGGTCAACATTCATTTTCATACAGCACCTGCAAATCAGATTTATGAGTTGACATGGCTGTCACCAGTATTTTTTATCGGGAAGGTACCAATATTTCAAGGCAGACCCCAGTTTTCCAGTTTGGTTACAACCTTGCATTTGGGCCTTTAAGACTTTTTTATTTATTGCATTAGAAAATTCTGGAGATAAGTTTTTATTTTCAATTTTGATTATAAATTTCTGATAAAAGTTCCTTGTGTTTCTTCAATTTGATTTGTTCAAAAATTTGGAGCTTGGGAAGGGAGAAGGCAAAGGCCAGGTTCCCCCTCCCTTTTCTAGTGCCCATGTGAATTCATATAAAAGTAAAGTTGTCCCTGTGCTTATCTAATTAAGCATTAAGCCGTGAAGGCGTATTGGGGAGTGGATGTATAGATCCACATTCGCTTGACCTCGGCACTACCTGGGGGTGTGTGTTCAGCCGCACAATTTACGCCCTGGGAAAGGGACCCTGGTACGCATTGGATAGCAGATTGGGTAGGCTCCAGAGCCGGTCTGGACAACGTGGAGAAGAGAAAATTCTTGACCCTACCGAGACTCGAATTCCAGCCCCTCTGTCTAAAAAAAAAGTATATTTTTACAGTATGGTAACAAATTGCATTTGGCTAGTTAGAATTGTCAATGTGAGCAAACAATCGTAAATAACGCCCATTCGGAGAGGGATTATGAGTTGGGAGATTAGAATTGTGTATCTTCTATGATGCTCACAATCTGGATTACGCAATCACATATTACAAAAGGATCCAAACCGAATGGTATTGAAATCCTGGGTGGAAATATGAAAACAGTTGTCAATTATTATATTTCACGTTCAACCACAGGCCTGATAAATGAATATCAATTCCGAATATTATCACTTACTTGTCTTTATCTTTCCAGGAACTATCGCAACTTTGCCACAACAAAAAGATACGAGACGTCACTGTAACTTAATCACACTGAGGCTTCAAACAATTCAATTTCACAAACTGACATCACGTCAACGTAACGCATTACTATTAGCCGTCTTTCTCACAAATAACTCCTGTTAAAAAGCGGGCTTCTATTCTTTCAGACATGGGATTTGCTCTGCAAAGTTTAGCTACTTTCCTGCTGACACTAACATATACCACGAACGACGTTCAAATTCGCTTCACGAAATAAATCCATCCTTTGCAGTACAATACCATTCTACTCGGATCTTTCTGATCGCTGCACACGGAGAATACAGAACATACGGAACGTTCAGGATCTTCAGGATCGTTCAGGATCCTCAGGATAACTCTGGCACTAAATCAGCCCCGTGAAACTCCTGTGTTATTGGTGGGCAATACGGCCGCCATAACACCACGGCGCAATGCTGCTGCCATCTCTACGCATCCTATATTAACTAAATTAAATATTGCCGACAGGTCCGAGAGCACAATCGGTGAGAAGGTATGCTAACATAGTAACTGTTTTGAGTGCTTACCCCACAGAGCATTATTTATGTCTGCAAATCGGCCTCCGTAGTCTAGGTCTAACGTTGCCACCTCATGGCTCAAGGTACGCGGGTTCTAACCCGGCGGAGGTCGTGGAATTTTTAAGGGCGGGAAAATTCAGGGAACAAGTCCTCCGGGAGGGACTTTAAGCCGTGGGTCCCGTGTCGTAGATTTACGGCACGTAAAAGATCCTCATGTCTCTAGGAGACCTCTGAGGAAAATTAGGCAACACATTTCCCGCCCAAGTAGTTTCCAATGCTTATGGTAGATGGGGGAAATATCAGGTACCGAGGGCCGACCTCGTTGGCTGAACGGGGCTCATAGCACGCACCAGTACCGATAGGGTATGGCGACAGTAGAAATTAAAGGGGGACGCACAAGGGACCAATAACTGGCATAAGTGCATGGGGAAACCCACCCCCTCTAATAATAATAATAATTCAATTCAATTCTTTATTATTTTTGTGCCAAGTCAAGAGCCGCAAGGCCAATTACAGACTTAGCACAGTGTAGATGAAAGTAATTACGTGTAACATTATACAAACATTAGACAAACACATTATAAGTCAAAAATAAATTACAGGCAATTTCTTGGGAAACACAATAATGAAGAAAAGTAAACAAACAAGCAAATAAANGATATGTTTCATCAACAGAGTTTTTGGTCCAAAGACGTCAGCGTTTCTACAGACAACATTAGCAGCAGAAGCGCATCTAGCAGAGGGGCAATGTTTACTAACAGAACAGACATTGAACATATGAAAGTCTCGGATTAGAACAGGGACCCGAAGGCCAACAATTTCCAAAGCAGAAGGGCAAAGTACAGAACCACGATAAACTTGAATAAGGAAGAGCGCATCAAGATGATATCTCCTCTTTTGCAAGGTGTGCAATTTCAATTGTTCTAAAGCAAAATCGTAAGAGTAATCAATTTGAGGAAAAAAACGTTTAAAACAGAGAGCTGTAAATTTCTGCTGAATGCGTTCTAGTTTGTTTGCATCAGTTGACGTAATGGAATTCCAAACTACTGAAGCGTATTCAACCTTGGATCTAACTAAAGTAAAATATAAAATGAACGTGCATCCAAGGGTTGAATAGTTAAATGTGATACTGCGAATTATACCTAGCATCTTAATACACTGCGAAAATATAAAATTAACATGATCATGAAAATGAAGTTTAGAATCAAGGTATACGCCCAAGTCTTTGACTGAATATGTTCGAGTTATAGTGAAATGAAGAAGTTTGTATTCCTATATCAAATAGTTAGTTTTCCTAGAGAACGTTATAACTTTGGTTTTGTCAGCGTTGAGCTTCATATAGTTCGCTGCACACCAGCTACGTATACAGTCAACGTCAGATTGCAGAAGATTACAATCTTCAGGAGAGCTAATAGAACGGTAAATTTTAATGTCGTCTGCAAAGAATATGTACCTGGAGTGCTTAATTGAATCACACAAGTCGTTTATGTAGACATTGAAAAGCAGAGGGCCAAGAACAGATTGCTGTGGAACACCGGACAATACTTCAATGGGCGATGAAATAGTTTCACCGATACGGACCCGCGATTGTCTGTTCGTTAGGTAACTGTGTATCCAGTTTACATAACCACCAGAAAATCCAAGGGCACTCAGTTTTTGAAGAAGCAAAGAGTGGGGAACGAGGTCGAAAGCTGAAGTTAGATCAAAATAAATGGCATCCACTTGACGTTGAGAGCCAACTAGGGGAGTAATAAAATCAAGATACGTTACTAGATTGGTGATGGTGAATTTACATTTTGTGAAACCATGCTGGCAGGGATTTAATTTCAACTTGAGGTCATGTGAAACATGGTTATGGATAACATATTCAAACAATTTCGAAAAATTGTAAAGAATCGAAATAGGTCTGTAGTTTTTTACTGAGGCACTATTGCCTTTCTTAAAGATAGGAACAACTGCCGCTTGCTTCCATAATGCAGGAAAACACTGCTGAGAGAGACTAAGATTGAAAATATGCTTCAAGACAGGTGCGAGTATATCAGAACAACCCTTAATGACAAATGCTGGGATGTTATCAAGACCGACAGATTTGGATGGTTTCAGACGTGCAATGGCTTTAAAAATATCTGAATCAGAAACAGGTGATAAAGATAGA